CAGTAATCTCATTTACAGCTACGTCTGTTTTATCTCTAGTTTTTTTTACATGTACATATATCATGTTTTGGTTTACGATCCTGTCAGGTCAGTTTTGCACAGTAGGCAGGGCAGATCTGCAGTGCCCCACTCTCAATCCCATGGTGTGGAGAAGTCTACTTAAATTAGGAAAATAAACCTGTAGACAGGTAGTGTAACCAATAAAGTTATATGGTGAACAGGGCCGAGTTTACCTTCCTTGCTGCCCCCAAGGCCAGTATACTTAATGCACCCCCAATAAATATGTATGTATTTATTATTTATTTTTTGTGGATAATATAAATCTTAACATGTGTTTATGTCTGTCCTGTACTGTGTAGGCAGCCAACACTTTGACAAGGAGGCACATACTGCTGCAAAACAGCAAAGAACCAGCAGGGGTCAATGCATTAACTTTTTCTTTGTAAGAAATTCTACATTATCATGTGCAAACATTTTTCAAGTGCCACTAAAATTTAAAAGATAACATGATTAAATGATTAAAGAACGATACCTTACTTTGTTCAAGTGGGAATAACATTGATATAAACTGTGCTTCTCCTATGTTAACTATGGTATTATTTTTTAGTTCAAAGAGACCTCTAGTCTTAGAATACAGATATATTTTCAGGCAAGAGTAACCAAGGCACAGAAAAATTACTATTATACCAACATGGCTGTCAACATTGTAAAATGATTGGCAAAGCAAACAAGTATAAGTTTTGTTTTTGGCTCCATAGTATGCAATGCCCAATTAAGTCTAGAGGGTTACTCCAATCATTTGGAGCGGGACCTTTTCTGTGTAATATGCCCTATTTGGCATATGAATAAACCCCCCCACTCCGTTTAGAGTAGAGCCTACAAAATAAAGATATTTACTTGCCTGGAATCCAGCGCCGGGCGAAGCACACGGGGCTGGCGTAAACGAGGCTGTGTAAGTCAGATGCAGGGAGGTGGGGCTAGGGCTGCAAATGCAAAGTGATTTAACTCCTTAATGGCAGATAATTGAGCAGTTCGACTGCAGGCGCATGATCTATACAGCAAAACGGCTTCATTAAGCTAAAGTTGTTTTGGTGCCTATAGTGTCCCTTTAAGAAATGCAGTACATTTCAACGTCTGTTACAGGTGGGCAGGGCAGGAAGTGAAATTCCAAGATTTAGTAACGTTACCGATATTCACAAAGCCAGAATATAATAGAAAAAGAACTGAAAGCAAAGTCAAAGTGAATCACTAGATACAACAGGAACCGAAACCCTGCAGCAACTGAGCAATAAACAGTGAGCATTTTGTTTGGGGACATGCAGTGACTGATCTACAACTAGACTATAGCTGCATTGTCTATGTGTCCACTGGTCCATGATGCTGACATGAAATGTCCTTGGAAGCAATGCTAGGTGCATGAACACCAGATGTTGCTGTTGGAATGTCAGGTAATTCCAAGTGTACCTAAAGCCAGATCATCATAAGCATTAGACAACAAGTAATAAGTCCTGCCTATACTAAATTGGACACAATCACATTGTTATTGGCATGATCCTAACAAGATTTACTGGGCAGAAATTTGACAAACTAGCTTGATCAAGTTATTTTCCTTCATTTTAACTGTCTTTCTGGGGGCCCAACACATGTACATATAATAATAATAGTTATTATTAATTATTATTATTATTATTATTATTATTATCTGTCTGTGTTCTATGACTCACAGGGCCTGTAAATCTGTTTAATTTGGTAATAATTCAGAAATTAATTCCTGACATATCCAGCCCAAATTGTAAGTGGGTCTGTGAGGTTTTTTTTTCCCAATCTTTATTTTAGTGCAACCCATGTTTTTATATCTTGAATTGACCTGTCAGTGTAGAATTTCAACTAATTGGAACTAAATGGATTGCCATACATTCTATCGGTTATGTATTGTTCTACAGATTTAGAATTTAGTGAATAGTCCTTCTATTTTTAGTTATGAAACCATTAGCACTGATTTGCAGATAAAAGGGTTACATAAGGACATGCATACACTAATGAAATGACAGTTTAAGTAAATAAAATATGCCAGAACTAATTCTGCGTAGCTCAGGTGGATTGTTCTGCTCTGCTGATAATCTATAATACAGAATATAATAACACACTCTTTGTGCTCATACATTCCATGTCCTATATCTGTGTTTGCTCACCTCTCTACTTCAATGTAACATATGGCCATATATAAAAATATTCAGCATCACACAGGTTGTATTGATTTTTCCAAATTATTATTAGTAAGTGTTTGACTGTTTGTTTTTTAAAAGCTTTATTATATGTATTGTGTTATCCTCATTCCATATGTTAGCTAATTTATGACAAAGCAAATACAGAGAAATGTATTTCAAACAACATAGAAAAGCAGACTGATTTGTTTTGTTTATATCCAGGGGTCAAGTCCTGGGGAAAAAAGTGTGGGAACTCACCCAAGATTCCCCCCCCCTTTAAAAAAAAAAAATTATACTCCTATGCATATAGTGCAGTACAGGGTGTGTATAATGAATGTAGTGTGTTTGTAGTGAATGCAGAGTGTGTATAATGAATGCAGTGTGTTTTTAGTGAGTGCAGAGTGTGTACAATGAATGCAGTGTATGTAGTGTGTTTGTAGTGAATGCAGAGTGTGTATAGTGAATGTAGTGTGTAGTGAGTGCAGAATGTGTATAATGAATGCAGAGTGTGTATAGTGAATGCAGAGGGTGTATAGTGAATGTAGTGTGTTTGTAGTGAGTGTATAGTGAATGTAGTCTGTTTGTAGTGAGTGAAGAGTGTGTATAATGAATGCAGTGTGTGCGTGTGCTGGATGATGTGTGTGTGAGTGCTGGATGATGTGTGTGTGAGTGCCGGATGATGTGTGTGTGTGCTGGATGATGGGTGTGTGTGTGCTGGATGATGGGTGTGTGTGTGTGCTGGATGATGGGTGTGTGTGTGTGCTGGATGATGGGTGTGTGAGTGCTGGATGATGGGTGTGTGTGCTGGATGATGTGGGGGGGGGGAGGAGCATTTTTTTAAAACTTTATGTGTATGTATATTTGTTTATTTTATTCCCCCCTCCCTGCTTCTTACCTTGTCAGGGAGGGGGGAGATCGCCTGGTGGTCCGGTGGAGGGTGCCAGCCACTGCACAGAGGGGCCATCACACGCTGTGTTCCCTCTCCAGCTCTAACTCTCGCGAGACTGGCCTGTGCGGAGCGTTGCCATGGTAACAGCCGCGGGTCTCGCGAGAGTTAAAGCTGGAGGGGGAACACAGTGTGTGCTGGCCCCTCTGTGCAGGTAGCAGGGCCGGTCCTGCAGGACAGGTAACGGGAACAGCGTTCCTGCTATGAAAAAAGTGCAGGAACGCCGTTCCCATGCGTTCCTGCAGGACTCGAGCCCTGGGTTTATAACAATGTGAAACAATTACCATGATGCACATACTCACTTAAGAAATGTAATTTTTTTTTTTTTTTAAAAGACAAAACTTTGAATATATTAATCATACATTTGCTAAACTGTAAAGCTGCCTTAAAAGGATACTCTTACACCATAATCACCATAGCACACTAGTGATTAAGGTGCCATGAGTGAACTAGTTCAGCCTGGTGGTAATCTGTCAAATACCAGTTTAAAGCTCACCCACAATATTTCCATTGTTGGTAAAGCAGATGTTTATACTTACACATAATCATGCCAAGGGCTGAATTGTCTTGACAAAGTAAGGGTTTATTCTTACGCGCCAATTAAAGTCTATGGGAAATTTGCTATTTAGTAAGCAAAGTAAACATTTACTCTGCTAACAGAATCCAGCCCCTACTTCAGACATAATTAGTTGAGAGTAACAGCTGATGGCTCTAGTCCAATGCATAATGTCCCAGCTTGGTATTTAGTTTGTATGATAATGAATGTGGAAGTATGAATACCTACTTTACCTTGCCAGCTAATAGCGGGTGGACTGCAGGAACGTGAAAGAAAGGTTAGTGTCAAACTATTCTTAAACATGTCGACAAATTACAGTTGGGTTGGGCCCTGGCACCATAACCACTTGAGTGTCCTTTTAAATGGTTTTATATTTACCCTGTAACAACAATTTAAATACCTTTCCAGTGTAGCTGCCACACTTACCCATTTTTACAGCAGTAATTACTTTATAAGTTTGATAAGTAATTACTTTATATAGGTTTTGTACATCCCGAGTCACTTTTTGTTGCAGTAACTTTGTAAGCAACGCCCAAGTCTGCACTGATAGAACAAGTGTGATTACACTATCAATAAATCTCCCCTTGATTATGCATACTCTGTATCAAAGCTTCACTATATCATTGGCAGATTATTTGCAAAACTATAGTAATGTATACAGATTTATCGAAGAAACTATCCAGCACCCCAATTTTTTTTTTTTATTCAGCAAGCTGTATGTCAGAAACCAGTAAACTTTTAGAAACAAAAACATTAGAGAGACACTATAGTCATTAAACGGTAGTTGTTCTGGTCAGCATAATCATTCCCTGCAGGCATTTTCATGTAAACATTGCCTTTTCAGAGAAAAGGCAGTGTTTACATTGCCCCTAGGAACGCTTCGAGTAGCAACTCCTCAGTGTGCATCACTGCCGTTCAGCATCTCTGCTAACCTTTGTTCATTAAATGCATTACTATGAGGAGGTGCTGATTGGCAAACCCAGCGTTTGGCCCTGCCCCCATCACGCCTCCTTGCCAATTTCAGCCAATCCAATGGTTTTAGTAGATCTGCTATCGAATGCCATTGAACACAGAAAATCCATAGGTAAACAGAGGATAAAACTCACATCAAGCCCAGTGAAGCAATTATGTTAATTAAACTGCTAGAAGTGTTAAGACCAGCGTTCCACTATTGTTAGCTATAGAACCTTTTTCCTATACAATTTAAAAAGATCATGTAAGTGTTTAAAGGAGTAACTGGTGTAAAATGAAAATTCTCAGAAAGGCTAAAGGAAATGTGTAATAAACATATGCCAATGTTAGTCATCACTGTGTGCAAGGCTCTCCCTGGCTACAAGAAACAAGTAAAAACAAAAATGCATAAGAATGATGTGACAATTACTCAACTTCCACAATAAGTTGATGGCCAATGTTCCTACTGTCAGAAATAAGTAATCTCCGTATATTGAACAACATCTTACATATACAGTACAGATTTAATATATTATTCAGTAAAAAAAAAAAAAAAAAAATAGATTAGCGGCTGAAGATAGAAAATCAACAGCAAGAATGATTTTTCACCAAACTGAAATATTTGGTACCATCCTAGATAGCAATGACAAGCTCGGAGAGAGAAGGACTAACCCACCACCAGCACTCTCACTCAACCACCGGTCCAGGTTGGATATAATTCGATTGATCAGAACATTGATAGAGTGGAAGTGTTAATTCTGCATTATCAAAGTGGCTGAGTCTGGGGCGATTTTCAGCCTGTTTTTGTTCAAACTGCTCCTAAACAGTTGATACAAAGCTTGAGACTCCATCCGCTGACTCTAGGCAGCATAACCACTACACAGAGAAATCTCAGTGTATCTTTCCTGGTAAAATATTTTATAAATAAAAATGTAATCATTATGCTGCTTAAACTGCCCTTTTTATATAAAGAATATGTATCTTCAGCTTTACTCTCTTGTAAATGCTCATAAATAAATAAGCCTTTCTGCTAGGCAGGTCATTCTCTTGCTGGATATGTTTTTGTTTTCGTTTTGATATCTCACATAAAAGATTGTTAAAGAATTAAAAGGCAGTAAGGTGCACGTAACTAGCATGTCAAGTAAGCCTCCTAATTGGTGCAGGAAAAACAGTATTCACAGACACGCTGACTGCACCTTTGGTTTAAGCCACAGAACAGAATGTACAATTCTTCTATCCGCAGTCTGGTATTTATTACTCACTAAAAGTTCAAATAAATGCCCTTCGTGTGTCATGACCTCTCCCTCTACTGGGACGGGGACCACTACGGCCCTGAAGTGTTGGATTTGGGTCTGCAAGTGTCCCCACTGGGTCAAAGTGTGGCCTGAATGGATGGAAGCGTCCAGAGGTGGGGCTTATGCCAGGAATTAAAGAAGTTATGGGATCTCCAACTAAGGGAAGAACCGGGCGCTCATCATACTCTCCACCAATAATTCCAGGTGGGAATGTGCTGGGTGGCGGAAATGAGCTGGGGTAATAGGGACTGGGATGGAAAGGGAGAGGATGTGGTACTGGAGGAATGAAGATCATGCGTCTTGATCGTAATGTCTCCCACTTCTGTCTGTGTTTCTTCTTGTAAAGCTGAAAAAACACCAACAATTTGAATTAATAGTTTTTAATAAATGTTTAAAATTATTTACTCAAAATATTAAAATATCAAAAAATATATCACCTAAAATATATTTTAAAAAACTATCAAAATATTACAAAATTAAAATATCTATTATAAATATAAAATATTTTGTAAAGTTTATCCAAACATATTTAATAATTTGGAAAGCTTATCCAACAATTTTAAATTAAATTGGCCAAACTGGTAAACAAATAGTTTTTGTTTGTTTGCCCTCCCAGTGACATCCTCTCCACGTATAGTACCAGTACCCAGTCCCTAGCAGAGAGGTGTTTTTTTTTCCTATTATCTATATAAGGGGTAGCCAAAAGGGTAAATTAGATCCACTGATATTAACATGTGTTTTCCTTCAAAATGAATTGCAAGCTATTTACCATTTCTATTATCGGGCTGGCAAATGGGGGCCATTAAAATCGGCTGGCACACTCTAACTATCCCACCCCTTTAGCCCCAACCCTTGGACAACAGGCAGGTGCCTTCATATTATTTATTAAGGATGTGGGTTACGAGTGGCAAGCCAACTAAAGCGGCCATTGTTTATTCATATAATCCCCTAACTGCTGGTTATGGGTTTGGAATAAGTAGTGTCCACTGTGTCTGACCTACTGTACTACTTATTACGGATTCCCATCTCATGGCTAACAAGATTAAAGTTAAAAACAGATAACATTAGTATCTTGTAAGACTTTTTTATTGGACTAACGGAATTTTGTAATAAACTTTAGAGATAACCTGCTTTTCTCAAGTCTAACGCATTTCTGAGCAAAGATAAGATTAAAGTTATTAAGAATTGAGGGGCAGCACACAGCTCAACTGTTCATAATTCCACACCACTAGGCAGGGCCGAACTGGCCCACCGGGATACCGGGAAATTTCCTGGTGGGCCACAGCAGGTGGTGTTGGTCTGACAGCCCTAATCATTGCTCAGGCTCCTGTAATCCCAGCCGGCCATGTGCGAGCTGTGCGACCGCACAGGGCCCCATGGGAGCAGGGGGAGCCAGGCGGCCGGCACAGCTCACACAAGGATCATAAAAAAAAAACACTATTGCGTCGGGGGCAGAGCTTAGTGTGACAGGGCGGCGCTTAGCGTGCAATGGGAGTGGGATTAAATGAGCCGGGTAACTGCAGCATGGGAAGCAGGAAGGAGTCCCTGCTTCCCCAACAACCTGCCTCCAGGAGCTCCAAGGGATCTGGAGGTAAGAAGCAGGTCAGTGTGTGTGTGTGACTGTGTGACTGTCTGCCTGCGTGTGTGACTGTCTGCCTGTGTGTGTGTGTGTGTGGGACTGTGTGTGTGACTGTTTGCCTGTGTGTGTGTGGGACTGTGTGTGTGTGACTGTTTGCCTGTGTGTGTGTGTGGGACTGTGTGACTGTTTGCCAGACTTCAACTCCCAAGACCGGGTGCACTACCAGGGTTCCAAACATCCAAATGGCTGTAATAGAAAGCTGCACTCACGGATTCCATAAAATGTAACTTTTAATCGGTCTTGTTAAAAAAAAAATTTTTAAAAATCAACGTTTCAGTCCTACTTGAGGACTTTCATCAGGATAATCCTGATGAAAGTCCTCAAGTAGGACTGAAACGTTGATTTTTTTTTTAACAAGACTGATTAAAAGTTATATTTTATGGAATCCGTGAGTGCAGCCTTCTATTACAGATATATATCACACACTACATAGCACAGTGACTTATGGGGCTGGCATAGATTTTTTTCCAGGGCTGCTTCGTATCCCCAGTCCAGCCCTGCCACTAGGTATGGGTAATAGGTAGAAATAGAGCCCTAGCCTCTCTGGGCGTAAAAATTGGTGGAAAGCTGTATCTGCCTACAAGAGGATTTATTAAACTATTCATAAGCTAAGGAGGGTTAGGTAAGGAATTAAGATAGTTTGTTCCCTATTTTTTTCATAAACCCCATTACAAGTAGGTGGCTAGTAGAAATAGGCTACTTGCCACATGCAATATATCCCTGCACTTCCCCCCCTTGTGAAATATTTTGCTGTAAAAAATGATCTATCACAGGTGATAAACCTTATCATCAGCAATATGACTACTCAATTTATTGCACATCCCAAAGATTTCTATTTGGAAAATCAGATGCCATAAATTGCACCAGTAATTATTTATGAAATGTGGTAATTTTATTAGGGCAATAAGGTAGTGAACATTTTATCACTTCATATTTACACTGAAATGCTACAAATAACATACAAATACACACTTACCTCTTTCCAGTCTGTGTCCTGGCTCCTGGGAATAGGATCTAAAGACAAAGACAACAGTTACTACAGAAGTGAGAGTAAACTGTCTATAAACCATAACGATCTCTTCAATTATATTTACAGAGCAACAGATAATCACAGCACTTCTCATGTCTATCATAAAGCAAGTGTAAGGAAATTTGTAATTCCTACAAGGCATTTTCTATTGGCAAAATCAATATTCATCTATTTAATTTACAGTTGTTATATTTGAGTACACTGACATTTCTGCTTGACATAAAGTATACAGACAACACTTTGCATTGTAGACAAACTCAGTAGAGTGTTCTAATATTAATTATGTCAGTCTTCACAAATGTACACAAACATTTTCAAGTTGATTTATATAATGTTACAAGCTGTGCCTATTTTAAAGGGGGCTGCCTAAGCACCATATCCACTACTATCTGTAATGGTTTCAAGAGTCTCCTGGCACTCTCCCCTGGTAAGTTGTCGAAGTTTCAAAGTTTTCTAACGGCTGACATCTGGATCCCCTGAATCCCACTGGTTCAGCCTCTGATATAGCTAAAGTATAAATTTCCCTCTCCCACAGATATATCTATCTATTTAGTCTCTATTTAAAAGGAATTCGCAAGCTCAAAGCATTACATTTTATCTAGTTAGAAGTTAGGCTAATGAATTCTGTCCAAATATGAGCAGAATTTAAATCACTAATAGAGAAGTAGGAACTTCTGTATTAGCAATATCAAAACAGCAAACCTGATCCATACAGCAAGGAGAGTAACCTATATATATATAAAAAACACAACACTTTGGGCACAACCCAGCTCAAAAGTTCACAAAATCTTTTTCTGATTGGAAGGTACGCAGTGCACCGTAGCCAATTAGAGATCATTATGAGGTGAGCTGCTGATTTGGGGCCACCCCCCAGCCAATCAATGTCACTATTATTTTAACAGTAGTTCAAAGCTATGTTGACGTAAAAGGGGCAGATAAAAGAAAGGTTATTGGCTGAGGGGCAAAATCAGGTCATCACACTGAGCTCGAACTGCTGCAGCACACATGCACCATTGGAGGCTTGGGTGTTGAAAACAGCCCAATTCATACAACTTTTTTATCTAGTTTTTTTCTAGTTCATCTAGTTAGAAGTTAGGCTAATGAATTCTGTCCAAATATGAGCAGAATTGAAATCACTAATAGAGACGTAAGAACTTCTGTATTAGCAATATCAAAACCGCAAACCTGATCCGTACAGCAAGGAGTGGAACCTATATATATTGGGCGTTGAAAACAGCCCAATTCATACAACTATTAATTTGCTAATAGGTACATTACACCGCTTAGTTAAAGGGACACTATAGTCACCAGAACAACTACAGCTTATTGAATTTGTTCTGGTGAATAAAAACATTACCTTCAGGCTTTTTGCTGTAAACACTGTCTTTTCAGAGAAAATGTAATGTTTACATTACAGCTTAGTGATAACTTCACTGGCCACTCCTCAGATGGCTGTTATAGGTGCTTCCTGGGTCATGGCTGCCTAAAATGCATCCAAACATTCAGTGTCTCCTCACTCTGCATGCAGAGACTGAACTTTCCTCATAGAGATTCATTGATTCAGTTCATCTCTATGAAGAGATGCTGATTGGCCAAGGCTGTGTTTGAATTGTGCTGGCTCTGCCCCTGATCTGCCCCCTTGTCAGTCTCAGCCAATCCTATGGGGAAGCATTGTGATTGGATCTTACTACAATTTCTGATGATGACAGCAGACTGCTTGTTTTTCTGAGGCAAACAGCATGCAGAGTTACAGCTTCAGGCTTGCATACAGTAAGATTTTGCTATATTTATAGAGGCATGAGGAGCCAAGGGGACTGGATGGTGGTTTTAACACTATAGGGTCAGGAATACATGTTTGTGTTTCTGACTCTATAGTGATCCATTAACTCAGCAGTTCTACTCATGTGACGATTGGGAACTAACGCTGGAGGACAAACTGCATATGGACAGGAGTTAATAAGATAATATAAGCAGACAGAATGAGAGGCTCCTGATTACTGGAGCCTTTTTTTTGTCACAGAGTGGTCAGCCAGCTGCAGCACGTGCCTGTGAAGGCCTGGCAAAGTGCGGTCTTTGAAGCTATCACTATAACCACAGCAGAATATGTTTTGTTTTTTCATGGGCAAGAATTGCCAATTTCATTTCTGACACATACAGCTGTAATTCATAAGGAATGTACTGTAAACACACAGAAGCAGCATTCTGAAAATGACAGGTAAGATGAGACAGAAAAAGCCAAAATTAAAGGGAAACTATAGTGCCAGGAAAACAAACTCATTTTACTGGCACTATAGCTCGTGGTTCAGAAGAGGTTAATAACCCCTTCTGACACATACTAGAGTCCAGCGCCGATGTCCCTCTGCGCTGGCTCAGCTCCGCCCATCCTCCTCCCCCACCGACGTCTGGGAAGACCTAATGTGCATGCGTGGCAATGGCCGCTCTTGCATTAATATTTCCATGCTTTCAATGCTTTCCTATGGTGATTCCGGTGACGCTGGAAGTCCTCATGCAAAGTTGTCTAAGCAACCGGAAGTCCCTCTAGTGGCTGTGTGGTAGACATCGACTAGAGGAGGGGTTAACTCTAGCAGGTAATTTTGCAGTTTATAAAAACTGCAATAATAATAACTCTAGGGTTAAGGGAGTTTGCACCCAGACCACTTCAATGAGCTATAGTGGTCTGGGTGCCTACAGTGTCCCTTTAAGAAAAAGAAGCACATATACACTGAGGCAATTAGACAATGGGAAATAAAGAGACAGAAAGTAAAAATAACAAAGCACCAGATAAAACTGATACATGCTGATTCACTCCAGAGAGTGACCTTTTTACACACAGATAGAAAATACAGTATATGTATTTACAGATTTTTCCATTTTAGACATCACTTTCCCTTAATATTGCCCGTTACTGTCAGTCTCCTTTATGTTGAAAATGAAAATGCTTGGCAAAGTAGTCACCTCACCTCGGAAATCTCGCATGTAAAAGAATCGCCACAGTGAGGGGTCTTCAGTATCGGCACATAATTCTCGGCAGGACGCAGACAGAGAGAGGAGAGACTGCACATCCAAGAGTCGGAAAACACGCAATTTTAATTCCAGGGGGAGGACCACCAGTCCAAACATGTCCGGGAGGTTTAGTACTAGGGTAATTAAAGTGGCAAAGAATATGTAAGAGGGGTGATTGGTTAGTGACACACAGTTAAAGTGTTTACATTAAAGAGGAACTTCACACCTGATGATCTAATCAATAGAGCAACTATTCATATATCTGGGTAATATTGGTTAAAACTACACGTCCTTTTGTACATTATACTAACAAGAGCTAATAAAGAGGCATGAAACTAGCACCACTTCCTCTAAAGAGTTATGTATAAATGCAAAGTGAGGAAGTAAATGAGAAGTGAGTTGGTAAAAAATATCCATTTCATGACAGACAACATTTCAGGACAGTCATTAGAAACAGTGCTTTCTGTAAACAATTGCAGAAAGTTCTCAAAATTCTCAAACAAAAATAAATAACTTGCAAAAATATTTGCTAGTTCAACATTTCATTCATGTACACAAATAAAAAATACCAGGTTCCCTTAGGAAGTCAGGTAAGCAAAAGAATAAAAAGAGAGACGATACCTTGTCGAGTGGCTGCAAGTAAAGGGTACACCAGTTGGTCTTTAAACAAACGTGATAATTTCTGAAGGTCTTTATACACAGAGGCGACATTGTTATCTGGAAAAACAATTAAGCAAACAGTCTCCATATGAAAATTGAAGTGAACCTCTAGCGATTTGTGAAACCTATTGCAGTTGATCCACCATATAGGAACTCTGCTAAAACAGTGAGAGATTTCCTTGCCACTTATCTCTAGAACTGACCTCCAGTTAATACTGTTCTCGAGATAAATGGCAAGGCGTATTTTTCACAATTTATTTTGTGCTTTACACTTGTTATATGTTTTATGTATATTAAATACTACACTATAAAAGTGTTTTGTTTGTTCTCTTTCCTTTCATATATACTACCTGAGAGTGCTTCCACGTCAAGTAATTTAAAAGTGCTTTTACTTCCAATGTTTTAAGATAACACGTTTTGGATGCACTTGCAATTTATGATTGCATGAACACGTTATAATTGCACAAAATTTGGCGCCAAAGACCTTCAGTTTTTGTACATATATGGTGTTTGGAATTGTGAAAGACAGTTCCATCTTTTGGCAGCATTTATTAATTTTTACACTGCTTCACTTTGCCAAGTTTTCACCTTTTTTGATAAAACCGTTTTATTCATTTAGTTTAATTTAGTAAACCAAGAAGTGTACTCTGCTTCACGTTATCCTATTTTTCAGTAACAGAGACAAAGTAGAATTTCCAGAATATTGTCATCTTACTGTACCCTGAAAACACCAGCAATTGAACACTGGAACAACAGTGATGAGGAGGCATTTGTATACAGAGTGTGTATGTATGCATATCTCTGAGTCTTTCTGTCTGTGCATGCATTATGTTTCTTTCATTACATGAGGGTGTCTACATCTGTCTCTTGGTGTGTGTTGTGCATGCTTCGGTGCATGAGTGCCTATATATGGATAAATGCATTTGTGAAAAACTAAACAGATACAGGTTTCTACAAAGCACTTCAAAACAAGCAATCACCAAAGAAAGTAAAGCAAACTTTATTGGCAATTACAGCAAAGGAAACCTCACATGATTTGGACCTTCCAGTCCTTAGTCACAGGATTCATTCTCATTTCTGTCTGTGCATGTATCAGGTGACCACAGACTTATGGCTCGTTTACAGTCCTGTTTCTACTTATACTAACCAGCCATTACTTTCTAAAATGCCTAACACTACTTTTAGAGAGTAGTGGCTGCTTACTGACTGCCATTTCACAAGTAGCTACAAGGAATTATTGGCTGACAATAATGAAAGTCAGTTGCTAAGCAGGAACTAATGGCTTTCATTATTCTCTATGAGAACCGCTACCCTATACTTAGCCACTTAAAGGACCACTATAGGCACCTTAATGAAGTGGTCTGGGTGCCAGGTCCAGCTAGGTTTAACCCTTTTTTCTATAAACATAGCAGTTTCATAGAAACTGCTATGTTTATAATAGGGTTAATCCAGCCTCTAGTGGCTGTCCTCATTGACAGCTAGAGGGCTTCCTTCTCACTGTGATTTTCACAGTGAGAAGACGCCAGCGTCCATAGGAAAGCATTGAGAATGCTTTCCTATGGACTGGCTGAATGCGCGTGCGGCTCTTGCCGCGCATGCGCATTCAGCCGAGGAGGAGGAGAGTCCCCCGCCCAGCGCTGGAGAAAGAGGTAAGTTTAACCCCTTCCATCCCCTAGAGCCCGGTGGGATGGGAACCCTGAGGGTGGGGGCACCCTCAGGGCACTATAGTGGTCCTTTAATGCCATACAGGGCAAAATGAGCATACTCAGGTGTGTTTTTGGACTTTACCAGCAAGCTGCTAAACTGTGACTAGTTGGTGTCTGTAGTGGCAACTGTTATTAGTGTTGAACTACAAAAATTTAGCAACAAGGCTGTAAATCTGGTGGTAATTTGTAGCAACTACAAGCTACCGGCTGGTTTTAACTTGAGACCAACAAAACGAGCAATAAGTTAAGTTCAGCGTCAAGGGTGGAGTCTAAGTGTATCCAAAGGCAGAGTCATCTGAGGGTGAAATCAGGACGGTGGGGCTATGAAGGGCATACAGTGCATTAAGTTATGGTTTGGATTCAAACTTTTGGAAAAGATATCGACTCTAGTAAAACAGTCTTACCTTGTTGTGGGAATGAAATGTACAAATCGGTGGAAACCTGCAGCCTTTTGACACTTTTCATTTCATTGTTAATCTTTAGAGTTCCTACATAAAATATACAAAGCTCAAGTCAATGACATACATTAAAAGGACACTAAAGTCATAAGAAAAATGTATCTTAATTAAGCAGTGTTTTCGTATAGATTATGCCTCTGCAGTCTGACTGTTTAATCCTCTGACATTTAGGAGTTAAAGCGGCACTGTCATGCAGAACTTACCTTCCTCCCCCCCCTCCCCCCCATCGGTTCCTCTTCTCTTCCTCTCTTAGGATCTGTTCTTCTTTTCTTCCTATCTGATCGAATTTTCTTTAAAACCTAAGACAAGGTAGGGACTCTTTTGTTTTATATATTTTTCCTACGCTTGACCAGCTTTGACCCAGTGGAGGAACTAAGTCCACTCCACTTCCTGTAGTCAAAGTAATTTTCCCACAATACTAATACTACTAAAGTGCCACTTAGTGGGGCACCAATAAAAATAATTAAGGTAAATCTTGAGCCTTGCAAGTAACCAATCAGGTAAGGCTCAAGATGTTCCTGTCAGAGAACTCTTATTGGTTGGCTTAAAGGAACCCCTCCCCTTCAGCAGCTTACCTTAATCCAGCGCCGGGCTTCCTCGGCGCTGGTTACCTCTCCTCCCCCGTCCGACATCTGCTGAGCCGAATGCACATGCGTGGCAAGTGCCGCACGCACATTCAAAGTGTCCATAGGAAAGCATTATTCAATGCTTTCCTATGGACGCTCTGCGCGATGGAGGCGAAATGTGCCTCCAGAGTCGCAGAAGCGCCTCTAGTGGCTGTCCGGAAGACAACCACTAGAGGCTAGATTAACCCCAAATGTAAACATAACGGTTTCTCTGAAACTGCTATGTGTGCATCTGAAGGGTTAAAACCTGAGGGACCTGGCACCCAGACCACTTTATTATGCTGAAGTGGTTTAGGTAACTAGAGTGTCTTTTTTTTAGCATCAAGAATGTTTTTTTTTGGTGGGGGGGGGGTTGGCACATTTATTTTTTGCGCTTGGGTTTTTTTATTTTGTTTGATGGGAATTATGGATTTTTATGTGGCCCTTTTTGGGACTAAAATCTTTTTTTAGATAAAAGAAGACATCTAATGGTAAGTATGATTTTATTTTTTTTTAAAGGTATTTAGGTTTATTGCATCTCCCTTCACTAGTGTAGGGTGAGGGGGGTAGGTAGGCTTTTATTTTATTTGAGGGTGGATGACTAGGGGCTTGGGGACCCCTTGTCACCGTGGGGTTTACATTTAGCCCCCACCCGTCATCCATGGGTGGAGGCTGGGGGGGACAATAGGTCCCCCACTGTCACTAGAGTCCTCATCTGCCGCTCATGGGTGGGGGCTGCGTGGACAAAAAGCCCTCCCCTATTGTAACTTAGGGTCCCCATCCATTGCTCATGGGTGGGGGCCTGGAGGGGGAATATTAAGTCCTCCCCTTAATTGTCACTAGAGGTCCCACCCACCACTCATGGGTGGAGGCCGGAAAGAGGGAACAATAGATCACCCCCCTATTGTAAATTAGGGCCCCCAACCACCGCCCATGTGTGGGGGCAGGACCATAGATCCTCCCCCATTATAACTTAGGGCTCGCACTCGCAGTTCATGGGTGGGGGACTGGACAATAGGTCTTTCAGCCTTTTAGTAAGTACCGTGGGAATTAGGGAGCTATCTATTAAGCGGCTGCAAGATGCAGCCGTGGCACGAACAGGATCAGAGTTTTATGCATTCGATCCGAACAAAGATAACCGAATTGCGTTCTAACACGAATGGACAAACTGTTCTCATTCTGTTAGGATGAAAATCGGTAGTTTCGCCGGTGTTTGATTGGCTAATGAAGCAGCAGGAGAAAATGTAGGAGAAGTGAGTTTTGTGGGAAAATCTCTTTGACCACAGGAAATAAAGCGGACTTAGCTCCTACTCTGAGTCAAGGCTGATCAAGAGTAGGAAAAATACATAAGACAAAATAGCCCCTACTTTGTCTTATGTTTCAAAGAAAACTAGATCAGTTAGGAAGAAAAGAAGAACAGATCCTGAGAGAGGAAAGGATTGGGGAAAGGTAAGTTTGGCATGAGTGACGCTTTAAATCACTTTTGTTTCTGTCCTAGTGATGGAAGTCTCTCTGCAAAAGATTATAGGCTTGTGAGTTTAACATCTACAGTGGAGAAATTATGTGAATAGTTATTGAGGGGAAAATATTCAGGAATAGGTTTTGCACATAACATCAGAAGGAGTCAACATTGTTTTTAGGATGATCGTATAAATCTAATGGAAATGGGTTCTATTACTGTACAAATTAAACAGATGAATTTTACCTGCACAGTATTTTAAAGGATCACTATATGGTCAGGAACACAAACATGTATTCCTGACCCAATAGTGTTAAAACCTGGGCCCCTCATGCCTCCATAAATATAGTAAAAATCTTACTGTATTCAAGCCTGAAGGTGTAACTCTGCATGCTGTTAGACTCAGAAAAACAAGCAGTCTGCTGACATCATCAGAAGTGATAGCCTGATCCAATCACAATGCTTCCTCATAGGATTGGCTGAGACTGACAAGGAGGCAGATCAGGGGCAGAGCCAGCATGATTCAAACACAGCCCTGACCAATCAGAATCTCCTCATAGAGATGAATTGAAACAATGAATCTCTATCAGGAAAGTTCCGTGTCTGCATGCAGAGGGATGAGATACTGAATGTTTGGATGCATTTTAGGCAGCCATGACCCAAGAAGGATCTATAACAGCCATCTGAGGAGTGGCCAGTGAAGTGATCACTAGGGTGAAGGTAATGATTCTACTCACCAGAACAAATGCAATAAGCTGTAGTTGTTCTGGTGACTATAGTGTCCCTTTAAGTTTACAAAATGTGGCTAGTATAAGAAGCAATAAAAGTTTTATTATTCTAAGCAATATTAGCAATAAAGTTCTCTGTAGTGGTTTTGGTGCATTGAGTCTTTAGGTGCCACAGTGTGTGACATCCATTTTCCTAGTGCCAGTAGCTATGTGTTGGAGATGTAAAAGTGAACAAAGCATCAACTCACTCATTTTTTGGTCCTGCCCAATGCTACAGCATTTTTCTTCTAATATTCATTCCTTAATTCAAACTGCTACTCCCTCCGGATCCTGCCACATTTTTTTTTATTGAATAGGTTTCCTGCATATCTGCAGGCCCACCCAAGAAGCTATTCATGTAGATCCTCAAAACAACCCTTACAAACATATCCCAATGCTTGGAAATCAACCTGCCTTTCATCTGTGTCAGCAGTAAAATATCACCTAAACTGGTAAAAAATTATATGAGTTAAGGTCTTCAAAATTCTGGGAAAGCTAGAGACTTTCAAACCAATTTGGGACTCATGGAAGTAATGTCTGATAGCTATTCTAGACATCACCAACAATCCTTGGCATACTCCACTCAGGTATTTTCTAGATTCGATACCCTTCTAACACTCCCTTGCTTTCTTACCTTACTTAATCTTTCCTGCTATTTCTATCTGATTTTTGTACATTTTACTTTTTGACATAATCAATTAACTAACATGGAAGAGTCTTGATGTCATTATGGTATATTTAGCATTTTGTAAAATGCCTTTCAGAACTTTATTTTATTATTCCCTCTTTATCAATGCATTTTGGAAAAAAACCTAAACTTAAATAACATAATACATCGAGCAAAAAAAAAAGAAAAGAAAATCAGATTTTCCAGCTATCTGCAGCTTAATCGGGTCTCCTTATGCATAGCCTCGTTCTCACACCATGTCTTCCAGGATCAGCCTCTCCCTCTCAGTATGTACTCAGCCACTGGCAGAAGTGTGAGCTGAGCTGCTGGAAGGCATAGACTTCGGACTAGTGAAAGAGGACGCATGTGTTACTGCCTGTGTATTTTTTATCTTATAATGCTTTGTTTCAAATCTCCAGGTCACATCTTAGCAAAGGGTGCAGAATATGCTTTATGGATGGTCTCTCTATAAGCAATTCCTGCATTTGGAAATTTACTGACTACATCTTTTTAAAACTAGGATACTATGCCAATGTTACCTGCTTTCCTTTAAAAAGTTAACCTGTGTGCAATTCATTCATTGCGCCTGATTTTTCCATTACATACTAATATGTCACACAGTGATATGAGGAAGGCTGTGTGTGGAAGGTAAGCTACGAGGAACGAATGTCCCTTACACTGCAGGATTCTAGCTTAGGGCTCTGGAGAGTAACATGGATTTTTAAAAACAGTAATGTAATATGATCCTGATCTAGTTTTTACCCTTCTGGAAATGCATGTTATTGGCTAAAATTTAACTCCGTTAATCCTTTCCATATCTTGCGTGTAGGGTTGCCATATCCACCATATCTTCCAAGACACACAGAATTCCTTCATGTTAATGACACCGCTGAAAGTGCTGCCCGGCAGTAAATGTAATGTACATGCTGCAGGATTCTTGAATTACTAATCATTTCATTTCATACAGATGCTCAATTCTTTATATTGATGTGCATCAAGCATATCAAAATCGCGGCCCACAATGAATATCATTGTGGCCCAGGAAAGGTATTCATTAGAAATAGGTAGGGGCAGGGTCCAGAGGTGCGGGTAGATGGATTTTCAATTTATTTTTATTTTTAAACAGGGGCAGGGGTTTAGTAGAAGGGGTGGGACTGGGATTTTGTAGAGGGGGACTGGGATTTTGTAGAGGGGGGCTGGTGTTTAGTAGAGGGGTCTGTAGTTTAGTAGAGGGGGGGGGCTTTTTTTTATACTGTACTTTTAAAAAAACAAAACTAAGTTTCTATGAAAATGTAAGTTTTTTTTTTTTTTTTTGTGGCCCATATAAACTTAAACCTTGTTTATTTGGAACGTGTTAACCTGTGAGTTTTACATGCTTGATGTACATGTTGTGGTTCTGAAGAAGCAGAACAGAGTCATTGATTCACTTTAGACATGTTATGTGAGTACAGGGGTATACGTCTTTCATTGCTCCAGATCTATACTGACTGATATTACAGAAGTAATGATTCTCATAGAGAAAAGTTGCTTCACTCTGACTTGCTCTTAGCCAGCTTTCAAAATGGAAACTGGTTGATACCTGAAGATAAAATTACAGACTAGCTGCTGAAAAATTGTTAATCTGTAAAAATACAGATGTGAAAAAAAAAAAAGTATAGTAAAATATTATAAAACTATCCAATTTCTACATATTTACAAGGAGCCGCTTTAAGATAACTTGGGACCTAGACTGGTCCCTAACAATTAGCAATATAATGCATAGTTAGTACATGAATGTCCAGTGAATACAGGAGTGTTAAAGGATACTTTTAAAGCGTTTCTGTATTTGTTTACTATTTCTATTGCATTATCTATATAAAGCTTTAAAAACTAATAATGTAATCTACATCCTGGAGATTTTGTTTAAATTCCTGGTATGAAATATTGCAAAGAGAAAATTATTTCTTGCTATATAAAAGATATACAAAGTTATTTACTAAGTTGAGAATCCAAAGCAAATTTCACATATCAGGTCAGAGTAGCCAAACTGAAAGTAAAGCTAAGTAAAGTGAATGAACGGTCTATATTTCTGTGTATATGATGTAGGAAACATTACTTTACTCTTCATACTCTTACACAAGACTCTTGTGTTGAGCAAGCCTGGGGACATTAAAATGCATTTTTATATTTTTAAATGGAAGCATTACCATTGACAACGATAAGTTTTCCCATGGGAACACATGATAGTGTCACCGAGCCTTCATCACACATGGGGTGAGAATAGTGAAGTTTGTACACACCCTGACCGCGCCACTGCTCTGGAATGGCAAGGGTTTTGGTTTCTGCACCCTGGCAAGACAAAAAGAATTACATCTAGATTTTGCTAGCAATGTTTTTTATGTCAGTCAAAGTTTATTAAAAGGTTTCAGAAAAAAAGAGAAGGCACAGCAATCAGGGAACAAGAATTACAAAGGCATACAAGGAAACAAAGACATAGAAGTCACCACACTGAGGTATGAGAAAAGTCCAGAGCAAATTAACTATGGAGATAAAATGGTAAATAACAGTCCCCAATCAAGTGTGTTGATTAAACAAACTTAGTTTATGTATCATGTACCCAGTATATGGGAGGAGGAAGTCAGGAAAAGTCTGGCGAGGGGAGTGGGGGTGAGTAGTAATACATATAACTACTACTTTTTCTTCTTCCAAAAGAAGGAGAGGGAGTTTCATATCCTATATAAATAACCTATTTACTATGAATAAAACAAACAAAAGTTAAAAGGAAAAAAAAATTGATTACATGATTTTGGAAATAACATATGGTTTAAGTTACAAAGCTGTAAAATATACGTGTCAATATGAGATTTTCAAGTGTAAATTTTCATTCATGGTTTTTGATAGGTCCAAGTTCTATTTTGAAGTATTTTAGCAGGCTACTTATTCCAACTACCCCACAAAGACATACTATTTCATAAAGAAGAAACCCCATGGTATTTTAAAAGGCACATATATATTTTTTAATTCTTTCTTTATAGGTTCATGTATATAGAGTTACATTCATTTTGAGAAATCAATTCATTCAATGCGTATAAACATGCCCTTTTGTACTGCAAGTGTGGAAGTTAAAAGAGGATCACATCATTTAATGTACATTTCCATACAGTATAAAACATTTGTGTCACAATGGGTGAGCTGACAATGAGCAGGGCTAAAATGCATGTGCAAATTGTGCACAAAAATATGTAACTTGTCAGTTTGCCTTTGAAACTGAATACATTTGGTCCTGCGATAGAGCTGTTTAAGGGGTGTCATTGAATATGCATCTTTGCTCATGTGTGGTGGCATTGCTCCATATATACATACATACATACATACATATATATATATATATATATATATATAATATATAATCATGAACATAATTTTGTAATTTTTTTTTTAATAGAAGGTAAAAAGTAGTGGGAGAGGACAAGTATGTAAGAATGGGGAATCGGGGGGGGTGGGGGGGGGTGTAGGAAGGGGTCTAGCTTGCTTGTACAAAGTGTACAGGAAATAAGCATTTTTTTTTGCCTTTTTGACACACACAGTAAGTTTGTACTGTATATTTTGCAAACCTATGTGTGGTACGGCTCTATATTACTTCATATGTTGCTCAGCTATGTTGTCGGAGTACAGCAATACACCCATATGCAGGGCCAGTGCAGGGCCGTCTTTAATTTCGATTGGACCCTGGGCAAGCATTTACTTGGGCCCCCTGACTATATATAGATACACACAAATACACTACCTGACACACATGCAGATACACACTGACCGCATGTAGATACACACAAGAACATACAGATACACACAGACTACATATAGATACACTGACACACACATAGACATACACACAGATATAAACACAGCCATACTGAAACACACATACACACATACATACTGAACCACACAGACATTGACAGACACACACACACACACACAGACATACTGACACACTGACAGACATACACACATATACAGACATACTGAAACACACATACAGACATACTGAACCACACAGACACTGACAGACTCTCACACACACAGACATACAGATACACTGACAGACATACTGGCACACTAACAGAGATACACACATACTGACACACTCATGCAAAATTTGATAACCACCCTCCAGTTTCTTACCTTTTTCTGGAGGGTGGCTTCCCTGGGGTTAAGTGGGCTGGCTGGGGTGACTGGGAGTTAAGCTCTCCCGGCCTGGCCCCCTCCGGAACAGCTGGTCCTCCTTCCTCCCGCGCGGCTCCTGTTTCTGTGGGAGGAAGTGACGCACGGCTGTCGAAAAGCAAGGGCCTGGTCGCGCTGTTAAAGCGCCACAGCACCCGACCGGGCCCCTGCTGACACAGGCCCACTGGGTGGCCCTAAGTGCATGGGCCACCCAATGGGCCCCCATAGTTTGCGGCAGAGGGCAAACAGGGCAGTTACCTCGGGCCCCCCAGCAGGGACAGGGCCTGGGGCAGCTGCCCTGTTTGCCCCGCGTTAAAGACGGCCCTGGGCCAGTGCAAGGATTTTTGCAGCTCTAGGCAAAAAAACAAACAAAAAGGTTGCTACCCCATTTTCTCCACATAGGTCATGTAGATTTAATCCCACAAGATAAAACGTTGCTTTACCTTGAAGGGTTAAACAAGATTCTAGTAGCTGTCACACTGCTCTTCAGGTCCCCAATACTCCTGTATGAGGAACATTGGACTGGAGCAGTGTTGCCCCATTAGTGACATTAAGCGAGGTAAGGAGGCAAGCAGTGCAGAGGGAGTCTTGGTGCTTGATAAATGTAAGTAATCCCCCACTTTTCTTTTTTTTTCTTCTTCTTTTTATGGTGGGGGGTGGGGGGGGATGAGACTTGAATTTATGTAGGGACAGAGACACTATAGTATTCGGAATACAGGTTAAGATTCCTAATACTAGAGTGTTCCTTTAAATGTATTGATTTAAAAAAAAATTTAATTATCCTTTTTGCCCAAATGCAATCACTGATAGATGTATACATACACACACACACACAAACACAAACACGCATTCACACACAATGGTCCACACAATTACAGTCAGTGACCAATGCACAAACAAATTCACTGACCCACCCAGGGTGGAACGCACACACTGACTCAAGCAGACATAAACTAACTCGTGTAGACTGACATACACACACACACACATACACTGACCCAAGCATTCATTCACACACATACACACACACACACACACACACACACACATATTGACTGATGCAGACTGATACACAAACACAAACTGACCCATGCAGAAACACACACACACCCAGACCCAAGCAGACACACACACACACCTTACCCAATCACGCACATACACTTTACCCAAGCATGCACATACACTTTACCCAAGCACACTTACACACACTGACCCAAGCAGACACACAGACACACTTTGATCTAGACACACACACACACACTTTGATCTAGACACACACACATGGATCCAAGCAGACACACATTTACCCAAGCACACACAAACACACTGATCCAAGCATACACACACTGACTGAAAAAGGCTGACACAAACACAAACACACACAGATCCAAGCATACGCTCACACCATGAAGTTCCCCACTTTAACATGGTCTCAGAGGCACAGCACACCTAACTGGGAGAAACCAGTGAATGCCATGGAACTCTGGTTCAGATCGAGCACCAGCTGTGGTCTGCTGAAACTTCTTTGTGAGCGCTTTTTCGGTCTCAGGACTAGCTAGAGACACAGCATATTACAATGCTGCCACCCATCCCGTGTATTCCTCATTAGGGGTTAATAAGCATGTAGGGGTGTATATAAAAAAAATACCCCTTTCTGACTCAGAGATATATTTGCAAGACGTTTAAGGAAGCAAGGTGAAATATTAGTGTAGAACCCACCTGAGAGGTTTGCCTTGACTTGGCAGGTGGGCTAAAGTCTCTCATGGCCATTGGAGAAACTAAATAATCTCCAGTTGTTTAAACATGCATAGGGATTTGGGAAGAGCGCAGGTAACATTTTTCTTTGGTTTTTACTGTATGTATTGGGGCTGATGTGTACTATGGTTGTTGCTGCCGCCCAGGAGTGATGGGAGTTTGAACGCAGGACTTGTTTTTTTGTATTTGTATTCACTTTTGTATACACAACTATGATACAATGCTGCCGCCCATCCCATGTGTTCCTTATTAGGGGTTAATAAGCATTCCCATTTGTTTAAATATGCATAGGGATTTGGGAAGAGTGCAGGTAACTTTTTTCTCTAGCTAGAGAAATGCTTATTGGAGGGGAGGCAGAGTAGGTGGTGAGGCATCCAATGACACCCTGGACTTGAGGGAGCGCCATGTATCCATGAAAGTGCTGTGGTTTTCTGGAAATTGACCGGGAAATTGCACCTAATGGCATGGAACTCTGCGTCAGATTGTAGAGGAGCCGCGACCCACTAAAAACTTGACATCCAGCTAACTCGGGTTAGCCATGTCCAAGCTGAGCACTTTTTGAACAGACACTCAGAAGAGAGCTTTCCGGGGATACCAGTTGTTTGGGGATGTGGGCATAGGAACCCTGTATAATTGTTGTTTAGTTACACAACACCGAAGTGTCAGGCCGCTAATAAATGAACCATCTAGGTACAGACACCAAGGCACCGCAACCCCATTGTTCTCCTGGGGACTTTCCTCTGTTAAGGCCCCAGGTATACAAGTGTAACAAGTTGACAATAAAAACAATTCTTCACCCTTCACTAAGTCTTGACTAGTGTTTGGGTGAGAGCGCTATACAAGTTATAATCACTCCTCTAGGTGCTGGAAAAGATAATTTGGAAGGAAAGGAGAGCCTTGGCGGTGACACTCGGGTCCCTTGGTGAGTAGTCCATCACGTGCAGTGTTTGTAGTGCAGCATAGTAACACCTCAAGTGGCCACTCCTCAGACGGCCACTAGAGGTGCTATCTGGGTCTGTGATGTTCAGCGTCTTCACGTTCTGCATGAAGACACTGAACTTACCATAGAGATGCACTCATTCAAAAGATGCTTTAATGCTCATTGGCCAGGGGGGAATTTTGGCTCCAGCCCAGGCCTGCCTCCTTGGATAAGGTCATTAGAATACACTATCTCAGGTGTATGACCAGACCTGTGCCTCTTGTCTACTCCCTGCCTCAAATTCCTTCACATTAGCTTGTTTGAAATTAGAAAATGTTTGGGACAAATTTTTACTTATACTCATTTGAAAGAGCATAACATTTCATCTATACATTGTGTTAGAAATTTGCTAGGAAATGTATAGATTGGGAGAAAAATTATTTAAAAATAGCTTCTCAGTCAAATCTTTGGCATAGACTTACAGGCGGTTCTACTGCCCTTCCATGCACAGCAACCTCAGCGCATGTGCTATGGAAATTCCCTAGCCGACAGTGCTGGCTAAGGAGTTTACGAATGCAATGCTAGTCATCAATCTGTTCTGACACCAGCATGTTGGCAACAAAGCTTGCATGTCAGCATCACACAGGTTTGTTCTGCTTGGGGATGCCTCCGCAAGCAGGGTAAATGTCAGAAGACTGAAGGAGGAGCAAAAAAATGGACTGGAGGTGGGTAACACCCACAAATCTCTGAAGATGAAATGCAAGTGAGATGAGTATAACTCCATATTTTATATAAAATACATCTTTGTGATATATTCAATGTATATGGGGGCAATCTAAGATAAGGGATATTTTCATTACAGCACAGTCTGTCAGTCACAATACCAATTACATTTTTCTAGCACAACTTTGAGGTGTGTTTGTTTTTTTTTATTGTGAGAAAAAGAAAGGATAATGGCAGATAATAGCTGTGATGACTATATATAGCACCAACATATTCTGCAATGCTTTACAATAATAAAAACAATCAAGTAACATATGATTTATAACAGAGACAATAAGTGAAGAAAGCCCTGCTAAAACAAGCTTACAATCTGTATCATCTTCCTCTACACAGAACATGAATGAATCCCAAACTACTGAACTGAAAGTAATAAGTAATATAAAAGTAATAGTACATAATACAGTAATATTATAAAGCTATAAAGTAATAGTAATGTAAAATCTTTGCCACCAAACATCTTGTCACTGGTGGATTGCATGCCCCACACAAAAAGTTCTAGATGAAAAAATTAAAATCTCAACAATAATCCTCTTTGTAATATGTCCCTGTCGATTGTCTCATCTTACCTGTTGGATGTACCCAGTCTCCAGCATTAACAGATGTAAGACAACAATCAGGGCATCGTTAGCGTTAGTGCATTCTGCCATATGGTAGAGTTTCTCCAGGGAGTGTGGTATCTTCCCATCTACAGCCTCACTACATAGCATTGGTTCCCAAGGAGAGCTGGTCCCTTCTTCCATCACAAACTGCTCACCGGGAAAATCTTCCTGTTCTGAACCTGGAGACCTTGCCATAGCCTATAGCGTAAAGATATGGTGGTCATAATGTAGGATTGGGGAGAAACTCTCTCATAATAAAGTTTTCATTATAAGTATGTGCTGAACACACTAATAAGTAGTATATAAGATAAAATTGTAGTTAAAAAAAACGATTGGTTCCAAATAACTATTGGCTCTTTAAAAACCTGGCATGTCATAAACCTCTCTGTTTCTCCCTGTGCAATTCAGGGGGGAAAAACTATTTGAAGTGGAGGTTTCCCACGTCATTATTTAAGTTTGAGATTAAATTGCACAGTGGTTTATTGCAATTTGTAACTAACTAGTCTAAGTGAATTTGTAAAGGCTCTGAAGCAAGGCTGTCTCACAAGAACATACTTTAAATGTACCATGGACCCCTGTGGTCATGTTATCATCTTGGGACTTCTGCCTCTTGTAGGTGGTGTTGCTGGAGGAGGCACAACTCTCAGGGAAGATGACAGAACCTGGCTGATCCTGAAGATGTAATGAGGCGTCGACCGGGCGTAGAGAATCTGGCAACAGCACAATGATCAGGTCACCAGAGATGATACCATAGGATTTCAGAGTATTCTGATCGTCTGTGAGGGCATCACTACCATTTAGCGTTATAGTAAACATAACTTCATTGCTGTAAGAGAGCAGAAGATGGCAGTAAAATAACCATATACAAATTAATTAATAAAAGTTAAAGCTTTAACAAACAACTCGTTCAGCTTAGCAAACTGTGTTTATAGGAAGAACTCCCAAGTATGTAGGTTTGCGCAGCACCATAGGAAATATAATTTGCAAACATATTTATTATTATTATTGGCATTATATAGTACCAACTTATCACAGCGCTTTACAATATTATAAAAGTTGTAAATTTTACAACAAATGAAACAACCTAATCAGGGAGGTCGTAAGCTTAAGTGGCAATAGGGCATCACTGCTCTAATGAAACAAATGCAATTTACAGAGGTGTTGCAATAGAAAAAAAAACCATTAGTAAACTAATCAAGTTACTGTGGAACAAAATATATGCAAAACACTATAATTCTGCATATTGTATTAATATACACTACTTTGACTAGATACACAAGTCAAGTAGAGAAAATCATACAAACCGACTAATGATCCTTTCTGATTATGATTTAAAGGGACACTGTAGTCACTATAACCACTTTGTCTCTTTGAATTGGTTATAGTGCCTGGAGTGCCCTGGCACTGTCCCTCCATTCAGTGTTGCACCATGTTTGTGCAGTATGCCACAAAATAAGAGTCCCTGGCCACCCACAGTCTGGCCCCTTCTGTATGTGTAGCTAAGGCAGAGATTACACACTTCCTTGTTGTCATACCCATTCATACCGTCAGTTGGAGCTCTGACAGATTAAAAGCAGTCAGCTGACACTCTCAGCCAATCACAGCTGCCCATTTCTGCTCAGGGTAATACTTCCTTATTAGCCAAAGCAGCACAGAGGGTATGGACTGCCGTGGTCTCTTGTTTAGCATTAAAACATTACAACATTAAAAACTGTTTAATGCTGAAAAAAATGATGGCACCAGGGGACTCCATACACTATAACCTGTTTAATGAGATGAAGCAGATACAGTGCCTACGGTGTCCCTTTAACACCAATACAATTGGATGCATGTTAAAGGGACACTCCAGATGACAATGCCGCGACCCTCCCAAAGACTTCCTTACGTATGTTTGTAAACGGCTCAGGCACTGACAGGACTGAGTGATCTTAACCCTGTAAGGACGCAGCTTCAAAAGCTTGTCTTACCCTTAAGGACACAAGCCATTTTTGCAGTTTGTGTTCAAATGCAATTTGCATCTCTATCATTTATTGCACCAACACATACTATATACTGTATTTTTTTCGATGTCACATGTACATAGAAAAAGTCTCATTAACTATATAAAAAAATGCCAAAAAATTGGGAAAATAAGATTTTTTTTCACAGTTTTGGCAATAATAGCGTGTGCATAATATGTCCAGCTTAGGAAAAGTAATGCAAAATAAATTAATTTATATGCCTTGATTTATAGAATACATTATATGTATAGGATTTCAGCTTATTTTGAAAGTTATAGGTCACAAAATACAAGGACTAAAATAAAATTTCAATGTGAAACAATTTTAGAAATTGGTATGTTTGTCTTGTAGGTTTAGTAGCCATCACAGAAAACAAAATTGCCACACAAAAGTATATATTTATATAAAGTAAATATCACAGGTTATTTACCTAAGATTATTTTGACACTTTTTACGTAGCCATTTAATCGCCAATCTCTGCTAAATATTGGAGTAAAATTGTGTTTTTTCTCTATTTTGTCATATACACTGTGGCGGGACCGCTGCCTGTTCGTGAATTGCTGTATTATATTCTGTGTGTTTCACAGTTATTTTCGTATAAATGTGTCTGTTCCCCATTCGGGAGGTTTTCCTTAAAGGGAATGCATTCACCTCCCGAACATGGACCACCCTGACAACTCATTTAGAGGGGGTATCATTGCCATCCGAGTGGCAGGAGGAGACGTCCAATATCTACCCACTGCCCATGTTCACCTTGACTGGGGCACTGGAGCCCAGAGAGTCAAAGTCAGCCTCAAGGATCAACTACCTGCAGAAGTGCTGCTCGGCAACGACCTGGGACACCTCACCTCCACCTATGTCTCCATCCAGGCCCGCGAAGAAGCTTACCATGTGATGACCCGGCAGCAGGCCCGCAACCCCTGGCAAGGCTCACACTCTGAGGCTCAGGTAGGCACTCACACCCGTCCCTAAGCCCCGGCCCTCGAAGGCACCCCCGTAAGTCAGTCCCCCTACACCCGTTTCCTGTAGCCACCACTGTTTGCGGGGCAGTACTGGGGACTGGGGTAGGATGGGCCAAACATCCTACCCCAGTGCCCAGTACTGCCCAGCACACCCCAGCAACCCTTTCCTGGGATACCCCAACCGAGTTCAGGGGGGAGATAGTGTCCGACCTGACCCTCCAGGTACGTAGAGACACGGCAGACACAGGTCTGGTAGGGAAGGAGGGGGAGCGGTACCTCTGGGAGAGGGGGCTACTGTACCGCATAGCGGAGAACAAGAAGTTGGGTACAGCTCCTACTACCACCAAGCAGTTGGTGGCACCCAGGAAATATCGACATGAGCTGCTGAAGATAGCGCATGATATTCCCCTGGCAGGGCATTTGGGATGGAGCCTGACAGAGAGTCGGCTCACCCAAAGCTTATTCTGGCCCGGCATCTCTAAGGATCTGAGGCAGTATTGCCAGACCTGTGAAGTCTGCCAGCGAGTGGGGAAACAGGGCGACCGGCGCAAGGCCAAGCTCCAGCACCTCTCCATCATCGAAAATCCCTTCGGCAGAGTAGCTGTCGATATCAATGGCCCCCTGGCTAAGCCTAGCCCCTTTTGGAAGAAATATATTCTGACCATTGTGAACTACGCAACTCGGTACCCTGAGCAATATTCAGGTTAAAACTGTAGCTGAAGCCCTGATGCAAGTGTTCTGCCGAAATTGTTTTCCCTGGGAGATGATTTTAAATCGAGGCTCCCAGTTTACTGTCGAAATCACCATCCAACTGTGGAGGTTATCCAGCATTAAACCGATCCCGATCTCCCCTTGCCACCCCTAGACCAATGGCCTGTGCGAGTGTTTCAATGGCACATTGAAGCAAATGCTCCGCACCTTTGCAGGATTGGGAAAGATTCCTGCCACATCTCCTGTTTGCATTTTTGGAGGTGCCCCAGGAATCTACAGGATTCTTCCCATTCGAGCTGATCTTTGGGCAGAGAGTGAGGGGCCCCCTATACCTTGTCCAAGAGCACTGGGAGGAGGCTGGGGATCAGGAAGGGACCCATATCGTCCCATATTTTCTGGAGTTTAGGAGCTCAACCATTTGGTGCGGGAGAACCTCCCGGCGGCCCAGAGGAGCCAGTGCACATGGTATGATCAGGGTGCCAGGAGCCATAACTTTCAAGTCGGACAGAAGGTTTTGATTCTGAAACTGGTCCGACATGATAGGCTACAGGCTGCCTGGCAGGGCCCATACTGGGTGGTGGAACAGAAATGTGACACTACCTATGTGATCAACCCGTGTTCAGGTACAGGAGTCCGATGCCTGTTGCATGTCAACATGCTGAAGCCCTAGCAGACTGAGGATCTAGTCGCCATATGTATTTTGATAATCTTCCCCTGCCCGATGTCCTGGAGGAGGGGGCTCAGGCAGGGTGCATAGACGAGGTCCACTTAGGGGACCGGCTAACCAAAGGGGAGGGCTGGCAGGCACAGAAAATGTGGTCTGTTTTGTCACTAGATTGTTAGGTGACAAGCTGCCCTTTGCCCCCAGCTGTTGGAGGAGCCTGATTGCCAGCCTCCTTCCTCATGACTATGGCCCTGGGGTGTATTGCCATTTAAAAAGACTATTTGGGGCTTATTGGCTTCTAAAGACTGTTTCTGCCCTTTTGAATCCATGGGAAGGTGTGTCTCTTCCCCTCCCTCCATTTCCTGTCTATTGTTCTCCAGCAGGGTGTTGTCCCAGGCACACTGCCAAACCAGTTGGAACTGACTGCTTTTGTCCCTCCTTGGTCTCTCAACAGCCCTTGCTATGCTATACCCCATGGCAAATTTACTCTGTTATTGGGATCTGAGCGCTGTTCACCTATATTGGGCGCTCAGATCCGAGCTATCTGGGGATAGGTTAAATGTGGAGGTTCTGTGTAATATAATAAGAATTATGTATTTTTTTTTACTTTTACGTATTTTTGCTGTTAGTGTAAAATGTAGATATTTTCTGTACCTGGAGATAATGGAGTTTACTGCAGTGCCTTAAGCCAATTATCTCCAGGATGGAGAGGAGGGATTTCATTGTGTATGTGGGAGTGTTATTATGTTAATTAGTTCCCATTGGTTTGTGTCCCTTTTGTCACAGTTTACCACCAGGTCCAGGGGGTGTGCCTCTGGCCTGAAAACTTGTATATAAGGAGAAATAAACGCTCATTGGAGTCAGATCATCTTGTACCTTCATGAAGTTTCGGCTCATGTTTGGGGGATTGGAGAACTACACTCTGGGGATTGCTATAATCCCTATACTCCCCAGGATATAATCACTAAGCTCTGCTAAGAGCTTGTTCCTGTTCCTGCTCTCTGGAATTCGGAGAGGTCGACCTACTGGAAGCTGGACCCTGGTCTTGGGTCCAGAGTGGGTGGAGACGGCGAAACCCCAACCAAGTAGTGGGGTCTGCAGTGGTTATGGTGTCCGGTGGAGTGCTTGGAGACCTCAGAAAGCACTAGGAGCATCCGTCAGCAGAAGGTACCCGGTCGTGGTGCCAGCGGTTCCGTTACAGAGACGTTCTTTAACCTGCCCAAGTATACCCACTAGTCACCCACCGGGTAGAGACTCCCAACCAACAGCCCCTGTGGCAAAACCCCTACAGGGTACCACAGGCTGTGCATAGGAACATGCTGCAGGAGATCCAAGAGATGCTTCAGCTAGGGGTCATCGAACCGTCCCAGAGTCCTTGGGCCTCCCCAGTAGTGCTGGTCCCGAAACGAGATAGGACTACTAGGTTCTGTGTGGACTACAGAAGGCTCAACGACAAGACAGTTTCAGATTCGTACCCCATGCACCATATAGACGGCTGCTGGATAGGATCGCTCGGGGCCGGTACCTCACCACTATAGACTTGTGCAAGGGGAACTGGCAGATTCCCCTGGCAGCCGATGTTGTCCCCATGTAGGCATTCGTCACCCCATTTGGCTTGTACCAATTTAGGGTGATGCCATTTGGGTTGAAGAATGCCCCAGCCACTTTCCAGAGGATGGTGGACCTGCTGCTGGATGGCCTCCAGGAGTATCGCCATATACAGAGACACTTAGAAGAGCACCAAGTACACATGGGAGCTGTACTAGACAGGATTAGGGAGGCAGGGTTTACCCTAAAACCCAGCAAGTGCCACCCAGGGATGGCAGAGGTGAAGTACCTGGGACACCGGGTAGGGTGTGGGTCCCAGAAGCCCAAGCCAGCCAAGATAGAGGCAGTAGCTAACTGGCCCCGTCCCCGCACTAAGGTTTATTCCTAGGTACTGCCGGTTATTACAGGAAGTTTTTCCCCAACTACAGCGCCCTAGCTAAGCCCCTCACCGACTTGACCCGAAAGGTAGACTGGGCCCCAGAGTATGAGCAGGCGTTCCAAGCCCTCAAGAATACCTTGGTGAATGTCCCTGTCCTGGCTACTCCTAATCCCAGAAAAAGTTTTCTCATTCACACAGATGCCTCCATGTTTGGGTTAGGAGCGGTACTCAGCCAGGTCGACGACAATGGCGGCGAACACCCCGTGGCTTACCTCAGCAGGAAGTTACTACCCAGGGAGGTAAGCTACGCTGCCATCGAGAAGGAGTGCCTGGCGATGGTGTGGGCACTCAACAAACTACAGCCCTACTGCTATGGACACCAATTCACCCTGCTCACAGATCACAACCCGCTGGTATGGCTTAACCGGGTGTCTAGGGACAATACCAGGCTGTTGCAATGGAGCTTGGCGTTACAACCATATGACTTTACCATCCACTATAGACCCGGTAAGCAAAACGGCAATGCCGACGGATTATCAAGACAGACAGCCATGGAGAAGTGATCCGTGAGCACTCCCCCGGACATCCACAAGCCGATCTGTTGGGATCAGACTGTGTATGCCGGCTTGAGGTTAATGGAGAGCTGTGTGGCGGGACTGCTGCCTGTTCGTGATTTGCTGTATTATATTCTGTGTTTCCCCTAAAGGAAGTCTCGGCATGCGCCTCTCCTGGGTTGTAGCCTGTTCGTTAGACGAACGCCATCCAGGGGGAGCATTCATGGATTTCTTCCCACCTCGTTCGGTTGCCGAACGAGGACCTCCCCAGTGCCCCTTGTGGTTTTACACTTATGTTGCAAGTTGCCAACGTTCTAATTGATTGGTGTGAATACTCCAAGGGAAGTAATTAGAGTGCTTCCCTGGGTTGCCGCTGTTTATATAGATGAGCGGCAGCCAGAGGGAGCATTCGTGTCCCGAATGGAGATGCTTCCCTTGCCTGGTTTCACCCAAGGACCCCGCGAGAGTAGGCTGTTCGTAGCGGTTACCGTTTTGGGGGTCCGTGAGATTGGTGGGGACACTCTTTGGGGACAATGGCGGTTTGTCAGGCTTTCTGTAGCTGGGAGTCAAAGAGGCGGCAACCCAGGATGAAAATTTACACCCATAATGGCATACCATTTGCAATAGTAGACAACCCAAGCTATTGCAAATGGGGTATGTCCAGTCTTTTTTAGTAGCCACTTAGTCACAAACACTGGCCAAAATTGGTGTTTTTTTTGCATTTTTTACACACAAACAAATACTAACGCTAAAGGCAACATAACCTATCTGGCGAATTTCAATTTCAAATGTAACGTGCTATATTTGACCCTGTAACTTCCCAAACGCCATAAAACCTGTACATAGGGGGTACTGTTTTACATGTGAGACTTTGCTGAATACAAATATGTGTATTTTATTGCAGTAAAAGCAAACAGTATTATGACATTGACAGTTAAAATGTCATGTAGAACTAAAAAAATAAAAATAAATCTTATTTTCTCCCATTTTTTTCATATTAAATTATGTTTCACAGCTAAATATTTGATATTAAATGAAAGCCCTGTTTCCCCTGAATAAAATGATATATAGTAAGGGTGGGTGCATTTATTATGAAAGAGGTGAATTACGGTTGGACAGACATGTAGCGCAAATGCCAGGTTTTGTTTACATTGTTTTGTTCACAACGTGTACATTTGGCTCCGTCCTTAAGGGGTTAAAGAAGACACCTTGAGGTATTTCAAAAGGCATATTTTGAACCTTAGCGTGGGATTATTTTTTCGCTAATTTGTTCCAGGTGTAGTGGTAATGAGCATTTTATAATGTATTTTTTACTCTATTAAACTTTTTACAACTTGTTTTTAAACTTTTTCTTAACATTCTTAAAACTTTTTTTTACACTTTTAAGATGTTTATAAACTTTTTTACCGTTTTTAGATGCATAAAATTGAATAATCTCGGAGCGCTAAGTTGTTTTGCACAAAATGTGTAGGGGCAAAGCAGATATAGCCTATATTTAATTACAGATTAATAATATACTATTTACAAAATTAATATATGTTCCAGCTGCAACACTTCAGTGTGTTCCCTTCACCACACAGTAAGAATAAAAAAATATATATTATTAAATTTATTATACAAAAAATGCATGTGTTAATTAGCACTGTGTATAAATGTGCAATTTAAACACCATATATACAGATCTGCACTATCATTTTTAATTCTTTTTTATATGCAACATATGATTTTGAACGTGTGACTGCTACCCATTGAGGAGTATAAGTATATTTATTCCTAATTTTGGTTGCATGTGGGAAGGGGCTGATCACCTAAATGTCTCTCCACTTCTTGAAATATATTTTTTTACCGTTTTTGTAAGGCGCTACGGAATATGCTGGCGCTATATAAATACCAGTAATAATAATAATAATAATAATAATAACTAGCGGTAAGCAGCACTAACAGTAAATACCCCAATTTCCCATAACTCCCACCCACCATAACTAGCAAAATATATAATTTTAAAATATTTAAATTAATTAAATTGATCCCCTGAGGGTTAAAAAATAAATAAAAGTTACCAGGGGTTTAAAAAAAAAATAAGATCACAGTGATGTAGGTAGTGATCAACTGGCAGGGAAAGGGTTAATTTTTATTAGGACTGGGTACAGGAGGGGGGTTTACTTTTTAAACGTTAAACTTATTTATTTATTTTTTTTTAAGTTAACCCAACACCAAATTGCCCAATTTCGCACTAACTTCTACTCCCCTCTCCCTGCCCCCCCTCCCCCAGTTAGATAAATATATCATTTTAAAATGTTATTGTAAAATACTGTGATCTGTATTTTGATCACTGTAGTCAGTGATCAAATGGTAGTGAAGGAGTTAATTTTATTAAAGCAGGGGAAAGGGGGAGTGGGATTTAACTTTATTATTTTTACACAGGAAGAAGATCAGCACTGATCCATCTCCCTGCACTTCACAATGACCGCGGAAGGGCAGGGAGGTAGATCAGGAGTCCCTGCAGCACGAATGCAGAGGCAGACCAGAAGAGTGTTAACCCTGCGATCTTGGTGATCTGGGGTTAACTTTAGTAAATGAAGGAAATTTTCCATCATGTGTCCTTAACGGTAGGACAAGCATGACAGAAATTTTTTGTCTAGCGTCGGGAAGGTGATAAAGATAATCTATAGTTTTAGGAATACAGAGCTGTATTCCTAACACTATAGTGCTATGTGCCATCCCCACTACTTGCACCCCTGGCAAATATAGGATTAAAACACCTTTACTAACCCGATACCAGCGCCAATTGCCCTAAGCACTGGGTCAGCTCTCTGCCTCCTCCGACATCTTCCGCTAGGAGGTCCTAATGCGCATGTGTGGCGGGTCCTGCGAGTGCATTAGACCTTCCCCATAGGGAAGCATTGGATCAATGCTTTCCTATGGGGATTTCACTAATGTTGTGTGTCCTCATGCAGAACATGAGGATGTACAGCATAGCTTAAGGCAGTGTTCCCCAACCCAGTCCTCGTGGACCACCAACAGTCCAGGATTTATGTATTTCCCTGTTTTATTCCAATGGAGATACTGACAAAAGCTGGACTTTTGGTGCTCCATGAGGACTGGGTTGAGGATTACCACTGCACATGGTTTAAGGGACCCAGACTCCGTTAAACTCCCGGAAGCGCCTCTAGAGGCTAGCTGGTAGACACCCACTAGTGGCTGTCTTAGTGCTGCAATATAAACATAGAGTAAAAGGTATCACTACCTATCTGCAGTCTCTCGGACTGTCTACAAAATTAGGTTGTGGATTAAAAAGCAGATTCATTGTATATTACAAGTGCATAGAGAAAAACAGCAACATACATCCCAAGAAGAATAGCTGTATTTAACACAGAATGGGAGTGAATCTCAAGGTTAAAAATGTGCATTAACAAACAATTGTATAAATCTCTTTTACATATCTTTAGTAAACTGTGTTTAATTTAAATCTGCACCTATGCATTTAATCCAGACAATACCAGGCTTAGTTGTACACAAGGGCCTCACTTTTTTTTTTTTTTAACATACCTTCCCTTTGGGCCATTGGTCCGGTCACTCATTTGTTTATGTTGTTATAAGGAGGTGGCATTACTATTTGTATAGGATTGTTTCATGGAGACACGTTTTACCTTTTTGGGGCTCCTTTCCCCAAGACTAGTGGTTGCTTTAACCCCTTAAGGACCAAACTTCTGGAATAAAAGGGAATCATGACATGTCACACATGTCATGTGTCCTTAAGGGGTTAAAGGACCACTATAGGCACCCAGACCACTTCAGTTCAATGAAGTGGTCTGGGTGCCAGGTCCCTCTAGTTTTAACCCTGCAGCTTAAAACATAAGACACATTTGACTGAGGGTTAATACAGCCTCTAATGGCTGTCTCACTGACAGCCGCTAGAGGCGCTTCCGCGATTCTCACTGTGAAAGTCACAGTGAGAAGACGCTGGACGTCCATAGGAAAGCATTAAGTAATATGGGCTGTTTTAACACGCACACAGGTCTTGCAGCGCATTCACATTCGGATCTGACGTCGGCAGGAGGTGGAGAGTTCCCCAGCACAGAGGGACCCCGGCACTGTAGAAAGGTAAATGGCTGAAGGGGTTTTAACCCATTGAGCCCAGCGAGAGGACCTAATGTTCCTATAGTGCTAGGAAAACAAGATTGTTTTCCTGGCACTATAGTGCTCCTTTAAACCCCTAAGGACCAAACTTCTGGAATAAAAGGGAATCATGATATGTCACACATGTCATGTGTCCTTAAGGGGTTAATAATCATAATCGGTCTTTTATAATGCATCTAGAGGCCACAGAGTATTTGTGTAGTTTATTGGTGAAGGATTCAGCCAGTTCACGTTGTAACTAATTTCTTTGTCAAAATGAGCGGAGTCCCCTCTTTTGACTGTTGTTTTAAGAAGACACACTTTACAGTTGGAGTCTTCTAAACATACAGAGTAGCATTTCCAACAAGAGTCATCCTTCATCATCAGAGGCGGGGAATCCAGACATTATTTTACAAATTATATAGTAATTATAACAATACTCTGTGGCAGATCTGGGCCACATCCTACACAAGGGTGGTCTTCCATTTGCTTAAGCCAACCAATAAGATTGCTATGAGTCAAATTGCAGGGCATTAGAAAGCTTTATAAGCTTTTCCCGCCCTGCAGAGCTCAGTCTGCGCGGAGCCCTCGCTGTGTGAAAATTGATTCTTTTTTAGCGTTAGGATTTAAAAAATAAAAAATAAAAAAAAATTACATTTTGTGGGCTTTATGGATTTTTATTAGTTTTTTGGGGGGGCTGAACATCTGAGAAATATTATGGTAAGTATAATTTCCAGGTATTTAGTTTATTGGGTAAGTGGATAGGTAGGATTGGATTAAGGGGTGACAAGGGACTTGGGAACACCAAGTCACTGGGGGGGGGGAGGGGATTAGGTGTTTGGGGACCCCTAGGCATTTCAAGGGGGGTTATTTTAACAACAAGCCACGCCTGTTGCCAATGGGTGGAGTCTGGGGGGAAGACAATAGGTCTCCCGCCCTTTTGTCACTTAGGACTCTCACCTAGGAGGTGGGAGACAATAGGTCCCCCCTTCTCCACGAATGGGTGGGGGCCGGGATGGAACAATAGGCCCCCCCCTTGTAACTTAGGGCCCCCAGCTGCCACTGTGTGGAGGCTACAGGGGACACTAGGTCCCCAGTTCATTTTAATACCCCCCACTCACAGGGCACGTGTAGAGACTGGGGGGTAAGGAGGGGGGGACACTGACCAAAACCTAGACCTTGAGCTATATATGTCTGTTCAACCATAATTTAACTCTTTCATATGAAGTGCCCCCACACTTATTATATATCATTTTGTTCAGGAGAAAAAGGAGGAGTGCCACATGACTCTGATCAGCTGGCTTGGCTGCAGGGGGATTATCCGGCAGTCCCCCAATCAGATCCGGAGAGGTGAGAATGATTCGATGAAGCTTCAGAGGCACAGACGTTAGAACGTGTCATTACACCCTTACAGTTTTCAGGTCCATGCCATTCAGGACATAGTGACACATCATAAAGTTGGGGTTTTGATAAGGCACTGAGTAAAAGTGATGTTTTAACAGTTTCTGTAATAAACCACTTTTTTTTTTTTTTTTAGATTATAAAAAGATAGAGCATATTAATGAGGGCAAAATCTAGCATCTTACGCAATGGTTCCCAACCCAGTCCTCAAGTACCCTCTAACCGTCCAGGATTTAGGGATTACTTAGCTGTGTCAAAGGTGTTTTCAGAAAGAAAAGAAAAAAAAAAAAGACGTTAGACACAACAGGGTAATCCCTAAATCTGGTAAGGGTTACTTGAGGACTGGGTTAGGAGCCCCTGATGTAACACATTAAAGTTGTATTGAAAACTGGAGTGTTCCTTTAATTCACTTTAAAGGTACAATACGAGCCATATTATGTGGTCTACATGAACTAAATATTTTAAAAATTGCAATTTAAAAGCTATGAAAGTAAAAAATTGTGTATTAATTGTAGCATTTGTTCTGAAAGGAAGTCTACTTGTAATTCTGACATAAGTCCAACAGATTTCTTCTGTATACAATGTTTATTAATTAGCATGATTCTAGGTAGACACATGCAAATGGTGCTTTTTAGCTCCTGTACTAATTTTAAATGGATCTCTGTAATATATGTAAAACTGTACACAAAGAGGAAAAAAGGTTATTGAACACAGAAGGAGGCTTGAAGAATAAACAGTCCCTTCTTTACGCTATCAGCAGTTTGTTATATTTAGTTTTTTAACATCGGTTTTCATCTAGAAATTATGACAGGTTCATGACACAATGCTACTTAAATATCAGAAGTATGTGACAGTCCTGGGAGAAAAAGAAAGTACACCCTCTTTATATTACATGGTTTTATATATAAGGACATAACAATTGTCTGTTCCTTAGCAGGTCTTAAAATTAGGTAAATACAACCTGAACAACATATGAAATATTACACCGTGTCATGACTTATTTAACAAAAATAAAGCCAAAATGGAGAAGAATGTGTAAAATCTAAGTACACCATTACTGCTTCCATAGGAGCCCATTCACCGCAAACCCGTCACACATTGTCAAAAGTGGGCCAAAATCAGAGGCGTAACTAGAAACCACGGGGCACCAGTGCGAAAACTGCCCTGGGGCCCCCCATATGTCTACCCTCCCTCTCGCATACATTGCCCGCCCCACACATGCAGACAAACAGATACACATGCAGAGACACACATAGGCACACACACAGACATACATACAAACACACACACACATATACAAAATGTTTTAGTCACCCTCCTGTTTCCTACCTATTAGGTGCAGGAGGGTGATTTTCCCTGGGGTCCAGTGGTGGCTCAGCCTGATGGGAGTCAGAGTGGGAATCCTGACTCCCTCCTCTTCCTGCCGCATGGCTCCCGGTGTAAGTTGGGAGGAGTGACCACTTCCTCCCAGCTGTGAGTTCATCTCAGGGGCACGGTCGCACTGTTAAACAGCGCGACCGGGTCCCCTGGAAATTAATTTCCATCGGGTATCCCTAAGAGCATGGGCTACCTGATGGACCCCCGATGGACACCTAACGTGCGGCCCCGGCGGTTCTACCACACGGTCGGGGCTGCAACACAGGGCGGCCAGGCCCCATGGACCACAGTAATCCCGCCACTCGCCAAAATCCCTTCACAACGATGTGAGAGATTGATAAAGTAATACAGAAAACAATAACTGCTGCTAAAGGTGGTTCTACAATTGAATTATAAGGTGTACTTAGTTTATCACACATGGCTTCTCCATTTTGGCTTTACTTTTGTTAAATAATTCATGACATGGTGGTGTTGTTCATCTGAGATTGTATTTACCTAATTTTAAGACCTGCTAAGGAACAGATGATTGTTATCATGTTTAAAAAAGACAGAATTTAAAGAGGCTGTACTTGCTTTTTCCAATGACTGTATATACTTACCTGTAACTGAGAGATGGGAGGAGCGAGGCAGACACCTTGCTTCTCAGGTCTCCAAGAGTCGGATTCTCCTCGTCTAACTCCAGACGACATGTCTGCTTCCACACTCTCACTCTCAACTTCATCTTCAAACACCAGTGAGCCCTGAAAAAGACAAATGTGTTTAACAGTGTACTTAAATAGCCATGTATAGATAATGGAAATGCACTCAAACCCACATCCTGAACTCCTGAGTGCAAACTGGATCAGCCCCAGTACCAAAGGGACCAAATATCAATTTATATCAAGTGTAGAAAAAATAATCCAGGCACTCCAAGATGTTCCAAAGAAAATAGGCAATTTTATTGGACCCAAGCACCAAAGAACAATGTTTCGACCACTTAGGGCCTTTATCAATCTACTGAAACACATAACTCCTATACAATATATAGGTATACATACAAATGAAAAAACATGTGAATTACTACAATTGATTAATTACATAGTCAGTCAGTGATATTCAAAACAGTGTCAATACATAATCATCTCTCCAATAGTAGTCTCATTTATTGGGGGTGTCAAGAGACTGCAAGGGAATAGAACAAAGAAGTTCATTAGAAGTTTGACTAATTATTTAATTGAATAAAACTATTCAAACAAGACCCAGTGGTTTTAAATAAATAGAAAACGCCAAACCTAGATAGAACACTTACATTTCCAGGTAAGATCACGTGACTACGTATGACGCACACAACACGTCCAGATACGCCGATCACATGATCGGACTAAACCGGAAACTTGGTATTTAGTGGCCCCAGACTGACAGACAAGCGGTACACAACGCTCAAAATGAGCACTGCAAACAGCCCTTTAAATGGCATTTAAATCCCACGGCCAAACAATCACGCTCAGTCACAATGATTTGAAGCTTTAACCGAGTCTGTGGGAGAACCCCCATGGTCTAAATAAATACCCTGACAGAGTCTTTCTGGATGCCCCCTGCCAACTGTGACCGTTTGGTATCTGTCCAGTGCCGATCACAGTGGAATCAGCAAGGACAGCATGTCGGAGCTGTAGCATTAGAGGTAAATCTCGGTCTCCCATTTCTCCATGTTCCTGCTCTGATGCAATCCACTGCTCCCCTCTTCTACTCCACTGTGTGTAGCTATCCAGTAATAAAAACCATATATATTCATTATGGATAAATATGCTAGTTACCAAATGCATTTCTTAGACAAAAGCAGGCTTACTTGATAAATCCAATGTTATGGGAGATTTTTTACCACACTTGCTTGAAAATCAAGTCTATCTTATCAATATACCCATCTATCTAATGATTTATATCGCACCCAAGCAAAACATGCCTTGATTTTATGTCATAAAACCCATCTATGTATCACTTTCATTTCTACAACTCTGACTTTACTTTCACTTTTACCAATACAGAATACACAAAAAGGGGTGGAGCCGGGCAGCCAAGCCTCACATCCAGGACTGACACAGGACCAGATTTTGTGCTCTAGGCCCAGCATAACCTGCATTGTCCTCCCCTACATGACAGACACGTTGCAACACATTTATACACATCTCTATGCCTAATCAAGCTTAGAAGTACACACGCTGTTTGAGCTAAGCATCTTGTTTTTATCTTTTTTTTTTTTTTTCATCTTACCTATTTTCTTTTTTCGGATAGAGTCTTAGACACTCTGATATAGCCTGTAGAATATAAAAATGTGCATCATATAGAGCCTGACCACCCACCATGAATAGATTTAGGTCACCTCCCAAGTAGCACTGGACATATATGGGACTGTGCCAAGACACTATGTCAGTATCTTAGATTCACTGTTTATCCTGTATTACCTCTGGTCACAAGTGCAGACCTATGTTTCAGTCTGTCTATAACTAAGGTCACATTGGGAGGCAATTTCATGTTATTCCATTTTCCATTGGCCTGGAGTAGAGAATTCCGACCACTTACATTAGTGCTACGGCAACACAATATCCGCTACCGGTGACACCTCTCTCGTTCTTTGATCATCCACAATGGAGAAGCGACCCACACAGCCCAAGACGTCAAAGAAGCAGCAGCTATCCTAAACAACACGGGCCTCTCTGGCAAACCTCAGAACCGAGATAACTTACCCAAGACACCCGAAACCCAACACCACTGGAACCCGCGGAGTTTGTACCCAGACCAGGCTTCGGGCCACCACCTGAACGCAGCCGGAACCTTCTCCCACTGAGAATACCCCAGACCCTTGGAACTTTACAGTTACACATACCCCTGCCGGGACACGCTAAATACCCAACCACTCAGATGACTGGCATGCTTGCCTCCCCATATGATCCCTTACACCTCCCCCTCCATGCCCAAGGGTGACCTGGGCACCAGGAGTAATCTCTCTGGTTGATGCCCACAGCGAAAGCTAGCTAGGACGGAGGGACGCGCTCCCTACAAGCGTCCAAGAACCCTCATTATGCCTTCTCAGACAGATTTTAGATCTGTACCCCGTGACAAACAGCACCTACATCCTAACATCACTGTACACCTCCTACTGACAGAGCCAGGACCAGGCCTATACATAAATACCCACAGCACGACAGATGTACCAACCACAACGACGTTACCTACATGTATATAGTTCTCAATACAACACGCTATACAGCAGCAGTGACCTAAACAACACCCAACATAGGCTTATCAAGGGTCTCTCTCCTTGGTTACGAGCAACTAAATGGGTATAACCTGCAGTTAATCCACTGTTTACATTTTTGTAGTTATTTAAGCATGACATAGCACAGTCCACCTAACTAAGCTCATAAGATAACATGACAGCTTCCTCAGACAAGAGTGGACTTATAATTATTCACCTTTAAAAAAAATAAATAAAAAAAAGTGTGCAAATTTACTTAAATGTCCTATATCTGTCTAAATGCTTTGTATGATCCACTGCTTGATACCTGCTCTTGGGGCATGTCAGGCATATCTGTAGTAATAATATGCACAGTAAAAAAATAAAGAATTAAAAAAAAAAAATGAATATGACAACTGTAGTACGTACACTAAAGTATAACCTACCTCTCCAGTGATGGTGATAAACATCATGGTGTCTGTAACTCAAAAATCTATAAGGTTAACTATTACTGACTTCAAGTCAAAATGTTGACATTGGAAATGTACTGAAATGTACTCAGCATGCTTTAGAATTCCATTACCACAATTAAATCATAGGTTTGCTATATGTTGAGGACTGAAATAACGTACAATTTGTTTATAAAAATGTAAACATAAAAGTTATTTACAAAAGATGTAAACAGCGTCAGTATTCATTTCAATCAACTGAACTAACAAAAAAACTTTCTACACAAAACACTGAAATGCCAAAGTTTTACATTGCCAAAAAAGGGACAGATTCAAAATAACAACATTTGGGTTTATCTACTGATCTTCAAAACGTAGCAAATCAGAATCCAAATGGCAATATTTTGGAAAATATAACTGAGCAAGAAAAATTCAAAAAGCACAGGTGTAGTCTCAGCTATTTTGGCCTCAATTTTTCTTTGGCAATTCACTTTGATTTTAGTAAACAACTCTAATTAAAGGGACACTATAGGCACCCACAACACTTCATCTTCTGGGTGCAGTGTTCCAGTCCCCTTATTGAGAAACTGAAATAATTACCTTGGAGGGATAACTCTACCTTTAGTGGCTGTCTACCAGTACAGGTGCTTCTGGGTCCTTAGCAGACTTTGCTTCCACTAAATGACGTTAGATGTCCTCACGCTTTGCATACAAACATCCAGCGTTACCCAAAACCCCATAGGAAAGCATTGATACAATTCTTTCCAATAGGGGAAGACCTAATGTGCTTGCGGCACTCACCGTACATGCACATTAGGTCCGATATGTGTGGAGTGGACGCAGGGCCTGACCCAGCACCAAGAGACATTGGCGCTGGAATCAGGTACATTGCGGCACGGAGGATTGGCAGTACTCCAGGAAGAATATAACATTGGACCGCAAGAGGTAAAATATTTTGTCAGATTTATTCCGACATAGGACCGCAAAGGGTTAAATGGGTGGGTAACACTCTGCTGTGAATGTTTTGCATTCTTTTCCATTCATTTTCATAGTGCTGCACAATGACCTCAGTAAATATTGCTAAATTAAAGTAGGTCTACGGGATATTGTCAGCAACTTAATAAAACTTGTGTTAATTGGCTGAAGGTTCGATTATTAGGATATCTGTATAATAAACGCAACCAATGCATTCTGTTCTACAAGATAGTTAAAGGGATATTATAGGAATCAAAACAACTTCAGCTTAATGAAGCAGTTTTGGTATATAAAACATGTTCCTTGCAGTCTCACTGCTCAATTCTCTGCTATTTAGGAATTAACTCGCTTTTGTTTCAGGGACTGATACAGACTAAATTAGGGCTGCCACATACGTAGCTTATTCTTTGCATGCCATTAGCATGGCAGAGCATCATGGAAGCTGTAGTTTTAAAACATCTGGAAATCCACCCTTTGGACACCTCTGGCCTACATAAAACAAATGGTTTCATTTTCATTCTGATCTTAACTTGTAAAGTAAGTTATCTCCTGTTCAGTAAAATAAAATTTAATCTCACACATGAAGTTCCTGTAGGGTCTTAAAGGCTATGAAAGGGTTACTTCAACCACCATTAAACACATAAATGATTAGAAGTGGTCATGGTGGTAGATATCTATATGTGCAGTGTTTCTGCTGGAAACGCTAAACATACAGAGTAGTCTGCACTCCAAGGCTGGGGTTTAGATAAAGCCCTGGCACACGTGACTGACAGCCTGGAACTCTGTTTCGGATTACCAAATGTAAATTTCTGTGTATGAAATTAGTCCGTCGTCAGCGTGCATAATGACAACAGACGTGTATAGCTTATCGTTTGCAGGCTGTGCAGAGTTGTTGTTTTTTTTTGCCTCCCCAAAAAATTTACTTTAAAGAAATTTTTTTTTTAATAATTTCCCCTTCATTTGCCGAGCAAAATAATTTTTCTGAATACAAAATTCCCTGACAATTCTCACTTTAGTGAATAACCATGGTAAATTCTGAATTGTAGTTAAATTCAGAAAAATAACCCTCTTTTTATTCACTTTAAATCCCAACAATACGTACTTTGGCTTCTCTTCCAAAATCTCAAATGGACAAAGAAAGGACACTTTAATTTTAAGGTAATTGTGAGTGAGCGTGTAGCCAGGTAGGGCTGTTCTGAGAAATTTTAGATAACTTACTAGTAACAATTTATGCAACTAAGATTTAACTTAGAACAAGAACATTGTATCTTATTTACACAGACTGATTTCTAAACATGTGTATTGTAGTTTATATATCCATCACTGACATTATTATTGCTGTGGAGCTCTGTTATACACTCAGGCACAACAACAATAGGGAGAACTCCCAACTAAGAGGGACATTAGGCAAGAAAAGAACGACACAGGGACTGTCCCTCCTACATAGGGACACTTGGCAAGTGTGCGTTCGTAAACAACCGTCTGTTATTTTACATGTGAGGCACACTCCAGTACAAAATATAAAATATACAGACTACCACGAGCTACAGAAAGTGAGAGCAGGTCTCCCGTTACAGAGGACACGCTCGGTAATATCACATTTCGGAGAATGACAGTTAGTGATTGTAAGCTCCTCAGCCCATTCCGGGTGTGGCCGGGCACGGGTTAGTGATGTCCCTCCCCTGCTCCCCCTCCTTACTTGGAGCTAGGAGCCGGTGTTGACTGAGGGCAGCAGCCAGTTCCCTCACCTGAGATCCCCGGGGGGCGGGGACATGTCGCGATCACGTGACCCCCGCGCGCAGGCGCTCTCCGTGCAACAAAGAGGCGGATGACTCAAGCTACGCAGTTTTTTTTTTTTTTTTTTGCCTCTTCGCGGCCGCCGTAGCCGTGTCGGAAGTGAGTTCTCCAGCAGTGCCGAGCTGGTTCCGGTGCCGGTAGTATTCCTGTGTGACTGAACAGCTGTCACCATGAGTCGCAGTTATAACGATGAGTTACAGTATCTGGACAAAATCCATAAAAACTGCTGGAGGATCCGCAAGGGCTTCGTGCCCAACATGCAGGTGACCAATACATAGCGTGTGTGTGTGTGTATACAGAGTGCTGGGTTGCTCTTTGTGCCGTGTATTCCTGAACACGCACAGTGTACTCACAGTGACGGCCTGCCTGCAGTATGTACAGTGTATGGGCTGCATGATGGATTCCTGATTGATTAGTCACTTGGATTCCGACCTGCTCACTGTAAGGCAGCACTTACCACAGGGACATACTAAAAGGAATGACAGATTGGAATGCCCATAGACTTTAACAAGGCAGTGGAATGCCCATAGAGAATAATGGAAGTGAAAGGAATGCCCATAGAGAATAATGGAAACAAAATATTTCAATTAGAGACAAAACTATTACACATATGAAATCCATATTTTGCCACAATACTCTCCAGATTCAGTGTCAATTTTTGAAATTGAAATTAAGTGGGATTATCATTGTTTTCTATAGAATGACAATGGTGAATGACTAAAGAGAATGCCCATAGACTATAATGGGAGGCAACACATAAACTCATTTGCAGGTACATCTGTGTTATGTAGCAAATTCATCTTTTCCACATGTGTTTCCCAAGTACAGCAGTAGATTGTAAAATTAAAAGTAACTGGGATTATAGCTCTTTTCTATGGAATGACAGGTAAATGATGCAATGGAATGCCCATAGAGTATAATGGGAAGCAATATGTGACTTGGAATCTGAACCGTGAAACATATCAAGTAAAGCTTTTGCAGGCATACTCTGCGAGTTCAGTGGCAATTATTTTAAATTGAGATTAAGTGGGATTATCATTGTTTTCTATAGAATGACAATGGTGAATGACTAAAGAGAATGCCCATAGACTATAATGGGAGGCAACACATAAACTAATTCGCAGGTACATCTGTGTTATGTAGCAAATTTATCTTTACCACATGTGTTCCCCAAGTACAGCAGTAGATTCTAAAATTAAAAATTACTGGGATTATAGCTCTTTTCTATGGAATGACAGGTAAATGATACAATGGAATGCCCATAGAGTATAATGGGAAGCAATATGTGACTTGGAATCTGAACCATGAAACATATCAAGTAAATCTTTTGCAGGCATACTCTACGAGTTCAGTGGCAATTTTTGAAATTGAGTTAAGTGGGATTATCATTGTTTTCTATAGAATGACAATGGTGAATGACTAAAGAGAATGCCCATAGACTATAATGGGAGGCAACACATAAACTAATTTGCAGGTAAATCTCTGTTGTGTAGCAAATTCATCTTTATCACAGGTGTTCCCCAAGTACAGCAGTAGATTCTAAAATTAAAAGTAACTGGGATTATAGCTCTTTTCTATGGAATGACAGGTAAATGATGCAATGGAATGCCCATAGAGTATAATGGCAAGTAATATGTGACTTGGAATCTGAACCGTGAAACATATCAAGTAAAGCTTTTGCAGGCATACTCTGCGAGTTCAGTGGCAATTTTTGAAATTGAGATTAAGTGGGATTATCATTGTTTTCTATAGAATGACAATGGTGAATGACTAAAGAGAATGCCCATAGACTATAATGGGAGGCAACACATAAACTAATTTGCAGGTAAATCTGTGTTATGTAGCAAATTCATCTTTTCCACAGGTGTTCCCCAAGTACAGCAGTAGATTGTAAAATTAAAAGTAACTGGGATTATAGCTCTTTTCTATGGAATGGCAGGTAAATGATACAATGGAATGCCCATAGGGTATAATGGGAAGCAATATGTGACTTGGAATCTGAACCATGAAACATATCAAGTAAATCTTTTGCAGGCATACTCTACGAGTTCAGTGGCAATTTTTGAAATTGAGTTTAAGTGGGATTATCATTGTTTTCTATAGAATGACAATGGTGAATGACTAAAGAGAATGCCCATAGACTATAATGGGAGGCAACACATAAACTCATTTGCAGGTAAATCTCTGTTATGTAGCAAATTTATCTTTACCACAGGTGTTCCCCAAGTACAGCAGTAGATTGTAAAATTAAAAGTAACTGGGATTATAGCTCTTTTCTATGGAATGTCATGTAAATGATGCAATGGAATGCCCATAGAGTATAATGGAAGTAATATGTGACTTGGAATCTGAACCGTGAAACATATCAAGTAAAGCTTTTGCAGGCATACTCTGCGAGTTCAGTGGCAATTTTTTGAAATTGAGATTAAGTGGGATTATCATTGTTTTCTATAGAATGACAATGGTGAATGACTAAAGAGAATGCACATAGACTATAATGGGAGGCAACACATAAACTAATTTGCAGGTACATCTGTGTTATGTAGCAAATTTATCTTTACCACATGTGTTCCCCAAGTACAGCAGTAGATTCTAAAATTAAAAATTACTGGGATTATAGCTCTTTTCTATGGAATGACAGGTAAATGATGCAATGGAATGCCCATAAAGTATAATGGCAAGTAATATGTGACTTGGAATCTGAACCATGAAACATATCAAGTAAATCTTTTGCAGGCATACTCTACGAGTTCAGTGGCAATTTTTTGAAATTGAGATTAAGTGGGATTATCATTGTTTTCTATAGAATGACAATGGTGAATGACTAAAGAGAATGCCCATAGACTATAATGGGAGGCAACACATAAACTGTTTTGCAGGTAAATCTGTGTTGTGTAGCAAATTCATCTTTTTCACAGGTGTTCCCCAAGTACAGCAGTAGATTGTAAAAGTAAAAATAACTGAGATTATAGCTCTTTTCTATGGAATGAAAGGTAAATGATACAATGGAATGTCCATAGAGTATAATAGGAAGCAATATGTGGAATCTGAACCATGAAACATATCAAGTAAATCTTTTGCAGGCATACTCTCCAGGTTCAGTGTAAATTTTTGAAATTGCCCGAGACCCATGTGTAGTGACAAAACTGCCGCCAGTGCAGTTGCACTTGGGCCCGCACGCTAATGGGGCCCATCGGGTGGCCCACACACTTAGGGCCACCCGATGGGCCCTATATCTTCAGGGGCACTGTCAGCGCTGTGACCATGTTATAGCGCAACAGGGCCCCTTGTATAAAAAAATGCAGCCGTAACGCAAGTGCTGCTCGGAGGAAGTGACGGCTGGTCACTTCCTCCCAGCTCACTATGCGCAGGAGGAGAGCCAGCGTGGAGGCCTTGAAGAGGGAGAGCCATGCTGACTCCCATCAGCCCCAGTCACCCTCCTGCAAAGAAACAGTAAGAAACAGGAGGGTGGCTGACAAATGAGCTGTCTGTGCCAGTGTGTATGTCTGTCAGTATGTATATATGTATGTCTGTCAGTATGTGTATATATGTAGGTCTGTCAGTATGTATGAATGTATGTCTGTATGAATGTATGTCTGTGTGTATGTATGGATGTCAGTGTCTGTATGCATGCATGTCAGTATGTATATATGTATGTATACCAGTACCAATGTATGTCTGTATGTCAATATGAATGTATGTCTGTGTGTATGTATGTATGTGTGTGTGTATGGATATCAGTGTCTGTATGCATGTATATATGTCTGTCAGTATGTATGTATGCCAGTGTCAATGTATGCCAGTATGAATGTATGTCTGTGTGTATGTATGTCAGTGTCTGTATGTCCTTATGCGTGTGTGTGTCTAAATATAGGGCTTAGAAGAGCGACCTCAAGACATGTCTCCAAGCCTTCTGGGTATGAGAGCCAGGAATCTTACTTCCCAATTCTCATACTGTAACATACCTTGACGTTACGCATGCATGCACAGTGCTGTCATGGTCGGCAATAGAGAATCATTGCATGTGCCTCAGGCACACAATACTCCTCTCTGATGTGCATTGGATAGACCCATCATCCGGGTGGCGCTAAAGCAGGAGGGGGCATCAAGTCTGGAAGGGTGAGTGTGGCAAGCCTAGCCACTTGGACAATATAAAGAGACTGTACCTTTAAGGGTTGCCTGAATGGTTGTGGGGTATGTGTGTGCATAAGTATAATGTATGCTGGCTGTAATACCTTGTATTTCCTGTATTGGCTATCTGCCGAACGCAGATAGCTGTATTCCATTTTGTTTCACGAACGGCACCTTTGCGGGCCGTTCGTGAACCGAAATAACCACCATGTAATAGCCCACACACTTAGAGGTGCTGAACTTCCAGGCTGTTCGGGAGTTCCGGGCCGTTCGGTATTATATTCCCTATACTTCAATCGGTCTTTTGAATGTGTGTTTTAATGAATATGTTTTTCGTGCGGCGTTCGGTTGTTTTAGCTGGGATCTGAGCGGTAATCTCACGAATGATGCGCTCAGACCCCAGCTATCTACCGAACGTCCATTCGTGCAAATAGTCCAAATAGTCGAAGAACTGTACATTTTAAAGTAATTGCCGGTTCTGCTGCACGGAGGGATAATCCACTTAACGGTATATTCCAGTGGGAGGATCCCTCTCGTGCAGCAGTGCGGATCGGCAATATTAAATCCCACGAATTCCGCTGGTACAGAAAGTAATCCACAGTCAAGCGCTGAAAAGTAAGGCAATATCCCAAATCCCCCAGTAACCGGACGAAACACAGTTCTGGGAGTCAACTGAGGTCTTAAATCACATGCTCCAGTATTTATACAATTCCCCATGCAAGGGGTTTCCTGAGTCACATCACAGGGGCATTACAGGAGTGGACTACATGGGAAACTTAATGTACAGGGCATTTCTCCCATCAGGCACTGCTGCACGAGAGGGACACTCCCACTGGAATGTACCGTTAAGTGGATTATCCCTCTGTTCAGCAGAACCGACAAG